GTTTCTCTGTTGTCTTCTTGTTTGTATTGTTTGATATGAAATTTATGTTATTATCTCTTCGTTTCTTTGTAAGATGTTCCTTCTCTGTCTTTTAAAAAAATTTTCTCCTCTTAATAATGTCTCATATTTTCCTGATTCTTTGCCTACCTGGTGATCTTTAATTGGATGACAGACATTGTGATTTGATCTTCTAAGGTGCTGGAGATTTTTTTATATACCTATAAATATATTGGGCTCTGTTCTAGGACACAGTCACTTGGAAACTATTTGACCTTTTGGGTCTTGCTCTTAAGATTTGTTCATTGGACTCAAGAGCTTTGCTTTATCTAGGACTAATTAGTCTCCACCATTGGGGCAAAAAACTTTTGAGTACTCTAGACAATTCCCTATAAATTATGAAATTTCCTAGGTTAGCTGATCAGACTAGGCCCTTTCCCCAGCCTCTTCTGGTACTGTTCCTTCTTATTCTTTTTGGTGAATCTTTTTTTGGCCTCAGGCAGTTTTTTCATATGTAAAGACTGATCGGTTCTTGCTGAAGATTTGAGGAGGACCATCTCCAGATCTCAAGATTCCCTTGTACAGCTTTCTCCTCTCCATACTCAGTCCTACAAACTAGCTGTGTCACTCACATTGGATCCCAGATTAGTCTTCTAAACTCTGATAATCTGCCAGGCTGTGTTTTGGTTTCTCCTCCCTATATTTTGGCCTGGAAACTTTCCCAAGCTAATAAGCTGGACCAATCATAAGACCCATCTCCCTCTCCCCTCCCCTTTAGAGATCGTTGTCCATTGCCTGATGTCTGGTGTCTTGAAAACTGCTGTTTCATATATATGGCCTGCTTATTGTCGTTTTAAGTGGGAGGATAAATTTGGTCCCTACTGCTTCATCTAGCAGGTGTCTCTAACGTACTTTCTCCAAATTTTTTATTATGGAAAATGTGCAACTTACACAAAAGTAGGCAGGATAGTCATGTAAATGCCCATGTACCCATCTCCAAATTTTAGAAAATGATCAACTCATGGCCAATCTTGTTTTTTCTGTGTCCCCACTCACTTCTCTCACTCTGGTATTATCTGAAAGCAAATACCAGACATTGTGCAAACTTACGCTGTTATATCAGCGTCAGTGTCCTGCCTGTATTTCTCCTGTCCTTTCACTTCAGTGTGCCTGACCTGACTCTAGCTCTCATGGTCTTCATCTCTTTGCTTAAAGTCTTTCCTTAAAAGTGGGGGAGAACTACTGTGCCCTGCTTGCAGCAGGCTAGAACTGCCAGTGTCATTGGTGCTCTCCCAGGGACAGACCCTAACCAAGGACAAATGGGCATGAAGATATAAATATCTCAGCTTCTTATTCCCTTGTGTGAGATGATTCTGAGGCATGGGCTTCACACTTTTCTCGTAAGTTTCTCAATGGAATTACATTCCTTTTGCCCACAGGAGTAGCGGATGTGATAATGCCCCCTTTATTATCTGTATCCCCTTTCTGTCACATTTGCTTACTCTCTGAATCAGTTTTCCGGGACTGCCATAACAAAGTACCAGACTGGGTGACCTAACATAATTTATTTTCTCATGATTCTAGAAGCTAGAAGTCTGACATTAAAGTGTCAGAGTTCAAATGTCAGCAGGGTTGGTTTCTTCTGAACCTCTCTCCTTGGCTTTCAGAGGACTGTCTTCTCCCTATGTCTTCACATAGGGTGTGTGTGTATTCATGGGTGTGTGTGCATGTCCTAATCTCCTCTTCTTATAAAGATACCAGTCATACTGGAGTAGGGCCCAGCTATACAACTTCATTTTTACCTTAATGACTTCTTTTAATGCCCCATTTCCAAATACAGTCACATTCTGTTGGTATTGGGAATTAAGACTTTAGCATATGAATTTTTGGGGAAAAATTCAGCCCATAACATGCCCCTATTGGTGTTTCCTGCATCACTCAAATGATCTACTTCTACTCAAATCTTTATTTTGGGGACTGCTTCTAGGCAAACTCAAATGAAGGAAATCTCTAAAAGATAAAGGATTCTTGGGATGCCTGTGTGGTTCAGTGGTTGAGTATCTGCCTTTGGCTCAGGTTGTCATCCTGGAGGCCTGGGATCAAGTCCCACATCAGGCTCCCCTTGGAGAGCCTGCTTCTCCCTCTGCCTATGTCTCTGTTTCTCTCTCTCTCTGTGTGTCTCTCATGAATAAATTTAAAAAATCTTTAAGATAAAGGACTCTTGAAAAAAATAATCAAATTACCCCCATACACTCTTGATATCCATGCTTCAAGGCTTTACTTGTTCTGCCTTGTATAATTGGCTTTTTTACATGTACACATCTTTTTACATTTTTACATCCTCACAGTGATAGCAAGAACTATGCTGCATTGTTTTTATCCCTATCCATGCAGTGCCTTCGATGCAGGAGATACCAATGCTGCTCAATTTGCGGAGTTAATGAGAGTAGTTCTAATCTGCCTTGGAAACTAGGTTTTAATAGTATAGCCACAAAACCTAAATGACAAAAGTATTTGTACTTTAATAATGTAAAATCCTGGGACTCCTGGGTGGCTCAGTGGTTGAGCTTCTGCCCCCATGGCTCAGGGTGAGATCCTCAGGTACATAGGGCTCCCTGCAGGGAGCCTGCTTCTTCCTCTCCCTGTGTCTCTGCCTCTCTCTGTGTGTCTCTCATGAATAAATAAATAATATCTTTAAAAAAATAATGTAAAATCCTTGCTGAGTTCATTACCGGCAATCTGTACAAATGTACAACATCCAGAACTGAGGCACACAATATTTGTTGGTTGAATTAAGGTTTTAATTATTTAAATTAGAGGTAAATATAACATCATCAACTGAAGTTGGAAGCTGAAAACTCTTTATTATGAAGACAGTTATTGTACACACGAGTTAATAGAAAATATCTTCGAACTGTTACTGCCACCTACTGATGAGGATTGGCCAGTGTTCCAGAAACCTATCTCTCAGGGCTTTATTTATTTATTTTATTTTTATTTTTATTTATTTATTTTTTTTAGGGCTTTTGAATTTTGATGGTTGTATAAGGGGCCTATATGAAGCACTAGTAAACGATAAATCTGACACAATAAAAATATCTATATATAATCACAAGTTTCTTGTGAAAAGGAACTATTCAGTCTTCATATTTATATACACACGAGCCTCAACTCAAACTCTGGACTAGACCCTCAGTAATTACTAGTTGAATAAGTGACTAGGGTGACTGATAAGGCAGAGAGAGCCTCGTGACTATAAATCAATCCTATTTTACGTTATAACCATATTAATCCAAGACTACATTCTTCCTCTGGACGTTACTTACATTTGATAATAAAGTAGTTCTCTTTGGGCAGCCCCGGTGGCGCAGCGGTTTAGCGCCACCTGCAGCTCAGGGCGTGATACTGGAGACCCGGGATCGAGTCCCACGTCAGGCTCCCTGCATGGAGCCTGCTTCTCCCTCTGCCTGTATCTCTGCTTCTCTCTCTGTCTCTCATGATAAATAAATAAAATCTTAAAAAAAAGTTAAAAAAAAGGTAGTTCTCCTTGACAGCAAGCTTTCAAAGGCGAATATGCTGGGCGAAGTACACAATAAGACGTATGTAAGCCCTGCCCCTTTCAGCTTTAAGTAATCAGGCGGCTTTATTTGTCTGAAAATTGCTGTGTACCGACCTTATGCTTACAACACAATGCCTTGGGTTCAAGGGGCCCTGATCTCAAAGTACTTTCCAGACCACCGTCCACGAATTTAGAGAACAATCGATGGGAAAACTGGGGTAGGGGCACGTGCAGAGGATGCAAGAAAGTGAGATACAAGGAGCAGAACTTTTTAAAAAAATATATTTATAAATTCATTTTTTATTGGTGTTCAATTTGCCAACATATAGAATAACACCCAGTGCTCATCCCATCAAGTGCCCCCCTAACCCATTCACCCCCACCCCCCACCCACATCCCCTTCTACCACCCCTAGTTCGTTTCCCAGAGTTAGGAGTCTCTCATGTTCTGTCTCCCTTTCTGATATCTCCCACACATTTCTTCTCCCTTCCCTTATATTCCCTTTCACTATTATTCATATTCCCCAAATGAGTGAGAACATACACTGTTTGTCCTTCTCCGATTGACTTACTTCACTCAGCATAATACCCTCCAGTTCCATCCACGTTGAAGCGAATGGTGGGTATTTGTCGTTTCTAATGGCTGAGTAATATTCCATTGTATACATAAACCACATCTTCTTTATCCATTCATCTTTCGATGGGCACCGAGGCTCCTTCCACAGTTTGGCTATTGTGGACATGGCTGCTAGAAACATCGGGGTGCAGGTGCCCCGGCGTTTCATTGCATCTGAATCTTCGGGGTAAATCCCTAACAGTGCAATTGCTGGGTCGTAGGGCAGATCTATTTTTAACTCTTTGAGGAACCTCCACACAGTTTTCCAGAGTGGCTGCACCAGTTCACATTCCCACCAACAGTGCAGAGGGTTCCCCTTTCTCCGCATCCTCTCCAACATTTGTGGCTTCCTGCCTTGTTAATGTTCCCCATTCTCACTGCTGTGAGGTGGTATCTCATTGTGGTTTTGATTTTGGTTTTTTTTTTTTTTTTCATTGTGGTTTTGATTTGTATTTCCCTGATGGCAAGTGATGCGGAGCATTTCCTCATGTGCTTGTTGGCCATGTCTATGTCTTCCTCTGTGAGATTTCTGTTCATGTCTTTTGCCCATTTCATGATTAGATTGTTTGTTTCTTTGCTGTTGAGTTTAATAAGAGCAGAACTTTCACACGAAACCATCCCATACTCTCCTCTAAGCATCGAACCACATGCACTGAACAATCTGGGACCTGAGTTTTCCGCCTCAGGCTGGCCCCGCCTCCCGGCCCGCCCCTCCCCCTCCGGAGACCCCGCCCCGACCCCGCCTCCCCCTCCCGGCCCCGCCCCTCCCTCCCGCTCCGGCCCAGCCCCGAGGCCCGCCTCTACGCTCTGACCCGCCCACCCCCCGAGCCGCGCTCTGGCTTTTTTAGCTCCACGCCGGGGCCCGGGCCTGAACCCGGCTTGTGGGGCCCGAGCCGCACCTCCTCGCCCAAGCCGAAACCTCCGGTCCACCTCCCAGCGTGAGCCCCGTCACCCGACGCGAACCCGCCTCCCGGAGGCGGAGCTGCACCAGGTGCGGACGCGGGGCGTGGCGGGCGCCTTGGAGCGCCAGGTGCGGCTTCCGCGTCAAGATGGCCGCCGCCTGCCGCATCGGGGCCCGGCTCGTGTCCGGCCGCCGCCTTCCTGCCGCGGCTGCGCTGCTTCACGTCGCCCTCTGCCTCTCGTGCTGGGCCCCGGCGGTTGTGAGCGCCGTCCCGGAGCTCGGGCTCTGGGCAGCGACGGTCGACGACGTAAGTGGAGTGTGGAGACCGAGGCGTGGCGCGTCTCGGGCCCTCAGGGTCCGCGCGGAGCTCGCTCGGACCCCCGGCCTGGCCCCGGACTTGTTCATCTGGTCTTTGCCGGGCCTGGCCGGGGCTCCTGACACGCTCGCTGAGCCCCTCGTCTGCCAGCGACGAGGAGAGCCCCCCTCCGGCCCGACCTGGGCGGCGGGGAAGCTCGCCCTCACAAGCTCGTGCGTGGGGGCGGCTCTCCCCTCCGAGCGCCGGCACCGTCCTAAATTCCAGAATCGCCTTTCCCCAAGTGCCGGCCCGCCGCGGCGCCTTGACGCCCCCTGGCTCGATCCCTTGGCGCTCGGTCGGTCGGGCCGGCGTCTTGGCCGTTTGACCTTACCTCGGGGCTCGGGTGCAGCCGCAGGGCCACACCCGTGAGGCCACAGAAAGGGCTTTCCCAGGCTTCACTCTCAGCATACACTTAAAGCGCATGTGCCACTTTTTTTTCCCCTTTTTCCTTTAAATGGGGAGGAACTCTGCCACCCCCACCCCTCGTTCGCTCTTCTGGGGTTCCTGAATTTCTCTAGGGCTCCTGTCTCAGTGGCGGGAATGTGTGTGTGGAGATGAGGTGGGACACGTGATTAAGGAGCGTTTGAGAGGCCAGTCTTGGGCACGAGGGTGTGTAAACTTCCCTCCTAGGACAAGCCATTTGAGAACTTGGCATCCGATAGTTACATGAGATGATGCAGGAGCGATGCCGGAGTTGAATTTTGGAAAGTCTTGTTAAAGAGGCACGGGAAATCGGGAACAGGCCTTATCTCCTGCTTTTCTAGTCAGATTATTCATCCAGCTGTGTTTTGAGATGAATATTTTCCACATGCATTAAAATGACGTTTGAGTTCTAAGAGCAAAACTTATATTTTGACTTAAGGAGAAAAATTTAGTACCGGAGGCTGCAGATAACTTCCTACAACGTAGAAGCTATACAGGAAGGAAAATAAGGTCTCATTCTGAATTTTTAAGACCCAGCGCTACCATTTCTTCTAGGATTCTTCTGGGTTTTGGTGTCCCATTCTATGCATCAGTGATATAGCATGCACTTCTCTATTGAATTTCTGAGAACCACACTTGTGGTTTCATGCTGCTGCTTTAGTGAATGGCAGTATCATAAACTAAGAGTAAACAATATTAGAAGTGAATGAGCTCTGTACGGATTGTTAAACTACTTGACCATATCTGTAAGGATCTTTGCCAAGTATACTTTGGATGATGAAACGCCAGAGGCCCTGGAGAAAGAATAACTGCTTCCTGTATAAGGAAGATAAATTTTTCCTTGGGTCCCACTTTCAGGTCAGTAGCCATAAAGCCCTTTTTTGCAGAGAATACACTGATCTCTCCCCTCATTTCAAGCTGTTAGAATTCGTCCTTAAGAATAAGAAAGGAGAAGGAGATTTTCATTTATTTGTACTACAGATGTATCAAGAAATGCTTCTTTTGATTATAAAGATCAACAAACAGTTTGTGTGCCTTCTGCACATAATGTGCTAGATTGGCCATTCCTGTTGCAAAGATGAATTAAGACAACAGCCTCTTCTCTCAAGAAACTTATATAATAGTAGGGACAACAGATTCATGAATAGTAGTTGAATACATGGCAGCATTCTTGGGATGTTAGTGGAGCACTAAGAGGGTCACCTAACTCTGCTTTCTAGAGGTGATGTCTGGTTGGGTCTTGAAAGATGAGTAGATGTTACCTGGATGAAGAAGGAGGGACTAGAGAAGCAGCAAAGCAGGAAATTCTTAATGTTTCTGCTGAGTGAGGTTCTGGTAGGAGTCTTAGAGGGGACTTAGGCTACCGTAAGCCTCCCACAACTTGTCCCTGAACCTGTGGCCGGGGGTCTAAATTCCAGGACCTACAGGGTCTGAGGCCATTGGTATCAGTGAAGTGAACTAGAGTCAGGAGGTGCTGGAGAGCCATGGCCTATAGATTATGTGCTCCTTCAGAAGAGGTGGCTGCCGTTTGGTTCCAGCTAGTGGATCTTTTTTTTTTTTTTTTTTTTAAGATTTATTTATTCAAGCAACAGACACAGAGATAGAGAGGTAGAGACACAAGCAGAGGGAGAAGCAGGCTCCATGCAGGGAACCCGACATGGGACTCGATCCCTGGTCTCCAGGATCACACCCTGGACTGAAGGCGGTGCTAAACTGCTGAGCCACCTGGGCTCCCCCCAGCTAGTGGATCTTATATGGCAATGTAGACACAGAATTGCTGAATCTCCTTTTTTTTTTTTTTTAAAGCGAAAGCCAGAATCCATATTTTTATCATGTCAACTAATTCAAAAATTTTTTTAAAGTTCCCATGTGAGCCAAACAAACCTCATTTTATAGGTTGGCTTAGGCCACTGATAACTAATTCTGGGTATGAATGAGGGAGAGCCATTGAAGGATTTTAGACGTAAGTACCAATCACTGTGGCTGAGAACTTAGGAGGAGTTATAGGCTCAGATCTAGTGGCAGAATTACCAATTAAGTTACTGCAGAGCAGGGGGCAGAAAATGTTGAGAGCCAGAATTGGAGCAGTGGTGACAGGGATGGAGAGGAAGAACTAAATTTGGAAAATGTTTGTGAGATAAAGTGGGTGTGCCTTGGGGATTGGGCAATGGAGCTCAGAGACTGAATGATGCCAAGGCTGGCATGACTAAAGATGGCATCACCCCCAGCCAACATGTATAGTATGGAAAGAGTTGGGAAGGAGCAGTGTCTGCTTTAGGACAGGTTAGTGTGGAATGTTTGGTGGACATCCTAGTGGACATGACCTTAAGGTAGTTGGGTATGTGAATCTGGGGCTCGGGGGGGGGGGGGTCTTGGCTGGGAAATTTGTTGTTATTGTTGGAACTGTGTTAGGGTGGGAGGTTATCAATCAAGAAAGAGTTGCCTGTACTCTGTGCTTTTCATTCTTAACCACTCATTTATTGAACACAATCCCTTCTCACAGCATTTTTATTCTTGGTGAGGGCAGACATTAAATAATTAAGTAATAGATTATTTCATTTTAATTGTGGCAAGGGTTGTGAAAGATGGGACCTAGAGACCATGTAAGGGAGGGCCTGGTCTGGTATGTCACCTGGCGGGAAGACTTCCTGAGGCTCTTGAGCTGGGCTGAGAAGCGTTAAGCAGTCATTAACAAGGTGAAGAAAGAGGACAGGGAAGGGTTTTTAAGTAAGTTTGCAGGTTGACTACTGAAGTCCTGAGAGCTAGAAGGCGTTTTCTGCTTTTAAAGCACCTAGAGAAAGATGCTGAGAGGTGGGCAGGACTTGATCATGCAGAGGCCTGTGACCAGCAATAAGAATTGGTCTGTTAAAAGTACATAATGAAGAACCATAACAATTTAGGGACAGTGATGGTTGTTTTATTAAAAATACTGAGAGAGACAGGTCCCCTGGCTGAGCAGCAATAACGAAAAATGGTACGTGGCAGCAGCACATCCTGTGTTGCTGATCCCCGGCTGAGACACTAGAAGCAAAGGCATTCAGGAGCCTCTTAGAGAGTAGATATGTGGGACAAGATTTTGAGCAAGTGGGTGATATGACCGGGTTTACATTAAAAAAAAAAAAAAAATCACTCTGGTCACAGGAGTGCAAGGGTTAGAACTACCTATTTTCAAGGTAAAACTATAAATAGAAAAAAAAATTTTAAGTTAGATCTTTATATATTTCCTTGTGCTTCCTTTTAGAAATCAGGACCTTTGATATTTAGAAAAACTATGTTTAACTCTACTGAAATCAAGTTTTCTGGTAAGTACAGTAAACTAATATAATACTAATATAACAGTATATTATAAATGAGTAATGTTATATAACATAAACTGATATATTAATATAACATTTTAAACTAGACAAATATTTTGTTTTTAAGTGGTTCTAACATTTTCAGGATTTCTTTTGTTTCAATCAAGTCTTGGTTATTTTCAAGAATAGATTTTTCTGATCCTGTCTCAAAAAATGTAATATGAATCATTCTTTAAAAATTATAAAGTGTAATAAAGTAGGCTTCAGCAAAAAAAAAAAAAATGTTTGACTTCTGACTTCTGTGAAATTTGACTCTGAATCCCAGCTTAAATATATTCCTTTTATATATGAAATGTCATGATTGTGGTAAAGTCCTTATGCCCTTGAAACTTTTATAAATATACCCATGATCATAGAATACAATAAAAATTACTAGGCACTAGCATTTTAATTAGGATTTTAGTGCTTATGAAAGTGAACATATTTGTTAGGGACTATGTTTTCTCTGTAAATACTGTAAATACTGATGTGTAAGAACTACTGAGTCCTACATCTTGAGGTTTTCAATATTTTTAATGGGTTTATAGCAAATCACATTTACTGTGGTCTAACTCCTCTTAGTGTATCCAATAACTTGACTAGGTAAATTGATTGCAAGGGTTAGTTTTGGGATAAGGAGTAGTTTTTTGTTGCATAGAACAAATTGGCTTCCTGGGGATCCAAAGCCATGCCCCTTTTCTCTATTACACCACGTTCAAATAATTTGTTGGGTGATTCTGTCATATGTAGGTATTTGCTGAGGGAATTGGCCAGCCATCAGCTAGAAAGCAGAAGTGGTTCAAAGCAGCTCATTTATATCAGATCATCAGTGGTGATAACTTGGCAAGAGGAAATTAAAGTCCAAAGTAGGCAAGGAAAAAAATTTGGCATCTATTTGTTTTAATGAATTCAAATCTCATTGTCTAGACAAGTAAGATCTAGGAGGTGCAGCAAGAAAGTTACATGGGGGAAAATGATATGGACCGTGAAACACATAATTTGATTTAAAAAATCAATATGTAGTGTTTGCAATCAGCTAAGAGTAGACCACACTCAAGACAGTGGTGCACCTGGGTGGCTCAGTCAATTAAGTGTCTGCCTTTGGCTTGGGTCATGATTTCTGGGTCCTGGGATTGAGCTCCGAGTTGGGCTCCCTGCTCAGTGGGGAACCTGCTTCTCCCTCTCCCTCTGCCAGTTACCCTGGTTTGTGCTGTGTCTCACTTGCCTTCTCTCTCAAATAAATAAAATCTTAAAAAAAAAAAAAAAAAGACAATGGTATTAACATCTGAAGAAAGAATGAGGCAGCAGAAGGGAGTTAGGAGCAAAAGCATAAAAAAATATGAAGGTTTAGTCAGGGTAAAGCAAATGTCTAGCAGCACCAATGGGAGAGAAATCTTGAACTATGACTGTAGATATGACATATCACTGCCAGGTATAGAGGCAGCATCCATCTGAGCCACCTCATTCTGGTGCCATGCTCATCAAGCAATCTTTATCACCTTTGGGTATTCGGGAAAGCATGCTGAAGGGAGAGAGTTAATCAATCAGTACACAACCACTTTTCAATTACTGTTCATTTTAAATGAGTAAGTGGGCATTCTAGATTATATGTCTACATTGATGGTGTGGTGAAGGAGTGAGACTGAGTCTCTGTTTTCACAGAACCAGATTTTAGTGCCTGCAAAGCTAATAATTAGCCCCTTGGATATGTGTCCATGCTCTTTGGTGGATCAGGCATCTATCTGGCTTTCCCTTCAGTGACCCCGTTCAGGATGTAGTCTTGTGGAGTCACTGCTGAAGATTTCTCAATATAATTCACTGTATAAACAGAATAAAAGAAATATACTATATAATCATCTTGATATGACAGAAAAGCATTTGAGCATTTGAAAAAACTCAGTACCTATTCCTGAGAAAAACTCTTAGAAAACTAGAAATAGAAGGAGACTTCCTCAAGTTGGTAAAGGCATCAGGATGCCTGGGTGGCTTAATGGTGAAGTGCCTGCCTTTGGCCCAGGGCATGATCCTGGAGTCCCAGAATTGAGTCCACATTGGACTCCCTGTATGGAGCCTACTTCTCCCTCTGCCTGTGTCTCTGCCTCTCTCTCTCTCTCTCTCTCTCTCTCTCTCTCTCTCTCTCTGTGTCTCTCATGAATAAATAAATAAAATCTTAAAAAAAAAAAGTTGGTAAAGGCATCTATGAAAAATCTATAACTGGGGCACCTGAGTGGTTCAAGTGGTTGAATGTCTGCCTTTGGCTCAGGTCATGATCCTGGTGTCCTGGGATTGACACCTGCATCAGGCTCCCTGCAGGGAGCCTGCTTCTCCATCTGCCTAGGTCTCTGCCTCTCTCTGTGTGTCTTGCATGAATAAATAAATAAAATATATATATTTTTAAATCTGTAACTAACATTATACTGTCAGTTTTCCCCAGATTGGTCTATAAATTCAATTAACTTCAATCAAAATTCAAGCTGACTTTAATGTAGAAATTGGCTATTTCTAAAATTTATAGCAAATACAAAGAACCTAGAATACACAGAGCAATTTTTAAAAGGAACGAAGTTGAAAGACTTTTACTATCTGATTTTAAAACTTACATAAAGGTACAATAATCCTAACTGTGGTACCATATAAGAGTAGACATACAGAATAATGAGACAGATCAGAGAGCCCAGAAAGACACCTACATAATAAGGTCAATTGATTTTCAATAAAGGTGCCGAGGTAATTCTTTAGAGAGAAGATAGTCTTTTCAATAAGTGATCCTGATCTTTTCAATAAATGAACAACTGTATATCTACACTGAAAGAAATCTCATCTCTTACATTGATCATGGATTTTTTTTTTAAAGATTTTATTTTATTTATTTATTCATAAGAGACACATGGAGAGAGGCAGAGACACAGGCAGAGGGAGAAGCAGGCTCCTCGCAGAGAGCCCACTGTGAGACTTGATCCCAGGACCCAGGATCACACCCTGAGCCACAGGCAGGCGCTAACCGATGACCCACCCAGGTGTCCCAATCATGGATTTAGACACTTACCAGCTCTGTCCTGCTTTTCTGGGACTCCATTTGCACCTATAGTATACGGCTTGATAATTGTCTCACAGGTCACTGAGACTTTGTTAAATTTTTTCAGTCTCTTTTTGCACTACATTTTGGATCTTTCTGTTGCTCTGTCTTCAAGTTCAGTGATCTATTCCAGTATTTAATCTGCTACTAATCTCATACAGTAACATAGAAATTAAATGAATGTATTAAGCAACTTTTAGTTAACTATAATAATGAATTTACCTCATTTTGCAGTGAGTTTTGGGAGAAATTAGATAATCTACTCAAAGTTTTTACTTGGATATTGTATTTTTTTAATCTCTAGAAATTTGGTTCCTTTTTTAAATTCTCTTCTTTCTCTCAGTATTTTCATTTTTTCCTTTACATCTTTGAGCATATGGAAAATATTTATAGCAGCTGTTTTAATATTCTCTGCTAATCATCTTTGTCATTTCTACCTCTTCATAATGACTAATCTATCATGATTATGACTCAGTTTTTTCTGCTTTTTATAGCTAGTGTTTTTGTTTGGATGATGAATATCATGAATGTTACGTACATTCTTAAGTGCTCAAATGTTGTTTTCCTTTAACAACCTTGTTCTGGCAGACAGTTAAGTTTCTTTTAGGTCAGTTTGATCCTTTCCAATTTTGTTTAATTTCTTTTAGGGAGGATCTGGAGTAGCCTTTACTGATGGCTAACTTAGCACCACTTCTAAGGTCTGACCCTGCTACATTTCTCCTGAATGCACGGTATATTTAATGAGGCATTTCCATTTTGTCTAGCTGAAACTCAACTAGTTCCCAGCCCTGTGTGAACTCTGAGAATCATTGGGCTTCTTTGTATGCAGGCGCTGTCTGCCATGCAGGGCAGGTTCAATGGCATCCCTGTCCAGATTTTGTTAACTTTTTCTCTGTGTAGCTCCCAACTCTTGGGTATTCTGCCCCAGAAAGTCTACCAGTCTTAGACTCTTGAACTTCAGTCTCAGTGCTCAGTTTGGATTCCCTCTGGTTACCAGTCTTTGAGATAGCTCACAGTGATCCCTGCCTCCTGGTCTTCATGACTTTATATAGTCCCCTACCATATTATATCAAGGTTGATCTGACCAAGAGAATATAGCAGAACTAATGGCACATCACTTCCAAAACTGGAACGTAAAAGATACTGTGGCTTCTTCTTTGTGCATGCTTGCTCGCTGTCTTTCTCTCTCTCTCTCTGATGACCTACTCTGGGGGAAGCCAGCCGCCATGTTGTGATGGCACTCCCAAAAGAGCTTTTTCTAATTCTAAACTTTTTTTTTTTTTAATAAATTAATTTTTATTGGTGTTCAGTTTACCAACATACAGAATAACACCCAGTGCTCATCCCGTCAAGTGTCCCCCTCAGTGCCCGTCACCCATTCACCCCCACCCCCCGCCCTCCTCCCCCTCCACCACCCCTAGTTCATTTCCCAGAGTTAGAAGTCTTTATGCTCTGTCTCCCTTTCTGATATTTCCCACACATTTCTTCTCCCTTCCCTTATATTCCCTTTCACTATTATTCATATTCCCCAAATGAATGAGAACATACACTGTTTGTCCTTCTCCGATTGACTTACTTCACTCAGCATAATACCCTCCAGTTCCATCCATGTTGAAGCAAATGGTGGGTATTTGTCATTTCTAATGGCTGAGTAATATTCCATTGTATACATAAACCACATCTTCTTTATCCATTCATCTTTCGATGGGCACCGAGGCTCTAATTCTAAACTTAATCCTTTTCAGTCTGTCTGATCATGTTACCCTCCTACCTGAAATATATGAAAGTGTTTTGTAATATTCAAAATAAAGGAAAACTCCTTAGCTGAGCATATTACGCTCTGTGACTTTTCCCCAGGGCTCTTCTCCAGCTTCAGCTCTTCTCCTTTCCCCAAATGTTTGTTCTGACCATAGCAGACCATTTTCAGGTGCTCATATGCATGCCTGCTTTCACTTACCTTGGCCTGCACATTTGCATATATGGTTCCACTGTCCTCTTCACCTAGCGAATTCTGCTCTTCATGTTAGTCTCCTTCTCCAGTAAGCCTGTTGGTACCCTTCCTCATGGTCTCCTGGACCATGTTAGGTGCCCTGCCCAGGGCTCCCTTGACCCCCTGTTCTCAGGCCCTTATTCTAGCAAAGGTGCCTATTTAATTATTAACCCTCTCCTCCCCAGTACCTCTTATTATCAAGGACAGGGATTGTTTTAGTTTATCATTATGTCTCTGACACATAAGGAATGCTCGCTCAGTACTTTTTGAATGAATAAGTCAGTGAAGAGAACAGTGTAGAGTGACTTTACAGTAAGCAGTGGCAGCATATTCGGTTATTCAGTTGATTTTAACTCTAGGTTTAACATAGAAATTAAATGAGTGTATTAACAACTTTTAGTTAACTATAATAATGAATTTACCTCATTTTGCAGTGAGTTTTGGGAGAAATTAGATAATCTGCGCAATGTTTCATTAAAGTAGCCTATTTTAAATTGCATTCTCGAAACCTTAAGCTTATATTGGAGTATATATATGTGATTACTATAAAATGAGACTTTCTGGGCAGCCCCGGTGGCCCAGCAGTTTGGCGCCGCCTTCGGCCCGGGGTGTGATCCTAGAGACCTGGGATTGATTCCTGCGTCAGGCTCCCTGCATGGAGCCTGCTTCTCTCCCTCTGCCTGTGTCTCTGCCTCTCTCTGTTATGAATAAATAAATAAAATCTTTTTTAAAAATTTAAAAAATAAAAAAATAAATGAGACTTTCTTTATCCAAACAGTTAAGTCATTCAGTTGTTCTGGGCCTGTGAAGTTTACCATAGAGTGGCATTTGAAGTATCATACCTGTCAAAATGAATATTCTAAGCTGGAGGTAAGTAAAATGCAAATTTTTAATGTATATAAAGCTTTGAAGGAAAAATTATGAGTATAAAGATTTATTAGCTCATCAAGTGAGGAGGCCAGAAATATAGATTGTAGTTTTAAAAGTTTAAAAAGTTTTAAAACAGATTAATTTGGGACTTAGGCAAGAAATGCTTTTACTATATCAAAGTATATGCTTTCTGAAAGGGAAACATCTTTTAGTTTTCTTTCATCTTATGAAAAATATTAGTAAATATTTAAATCAGACATATATGAATCAATAAAGGGGTTGTGGGTCACATACAAACAAAAATCAACATAGTTTAAGGAAGAAATGTAAAAGGTTTACTTCAGTCAAAAGTTGGTTATAGGGTATCTAGAACTTTAGGGAGGCCGAGCAGCTTTAGTGAGTAGAAGCAGATTCCGAGAGGTGAAAGGAAAGGAGGCCCCCAGGGAAAGGAGGGGAAGCATGTGAGATGAGGAAAGAGGCCAGGGTAGGCTTTCTCCTACCCCTGGCATGTCCATTGGGCTCACACGTTCCTTGGAAAGGTGCTTCACTTGACCATTCTCCACATGGTTGCTCCCGGCCATTTCCTGTGGGCTCCTAGCTTGAATGACACATGGGTTTCCATACCTTTATCTGCATTGTCTTTCCATTTGGGATGAAAGGTGCCATTTTCCTCAAATACTGCTTTTGTGACTCTATCTCCAAATATTTTACCCCTTCACACTAAATACTTTGGTGTGTATTTCCTAAGAGCAAAGATACTTAGATTACACAGCACAGTGATAAAATTTAGAAATTTTAACAATGATACAAAACTATTATTAACTAATAAACAGATCTTATTAAAGTTTGGCCAGTGTCCCCAAAACATCCTTTTTAGCAGTTTGTTTGTTTTTATTGTTCCTTCCCTGGTACAAGATCCAATCCAAGATCACACTGCATTTCTGCAGCTTTTGTTTTGTTTTGTTTTTGGTCTTTCCTGACATTGACATATTTGAAGTGTACAAGCCATTTATTATAAAATACCATCAGTTTCCAGTATTTCTAATACTTCCTCATGCTCAGATTCAGGTTATGCTTTTGGCAGGCATACCGAAGAGTTCTGGTTTGTCCTATTTTTGGGACATAAAGTGTTAACTTTAAGGTCGATTAGTTAAGGAAGTTTCTACCAGGTTTCTCCACTATAAAGTAACTATAAAGTTGCTACTTTTCTCCTTGTTGTTAACAATAATTTGTGAAGAAATATTTTCATATTTGTATATGAATATCCTGATTTTTCATCAGTCCTTGTTTTAATATCCTTTGATTCTTGCCTGATGAATCACCTATTGCTTTGATGATTGCTAAATGGTGATTTTCTAATTCCATTTTTTTCTTCTGCTTTGTTAACATTTTGCCATCAGGATGAGCTCTTTCTTTTCCTCTTTTCTTACCTGTCAATCAGCCAACTGAGCAATCATTAGCATGGACTTACTGGTTTTTGCTTTGTTGCATGGGTTATAATCAATTACTATTTTTTACTTATTTTGTTCACATTGTCTACTGTTTGGCCAGTAGAAGCCAACTTAACCTTTTCTTGATGGCTAGAAGCTAGGCCATTGGGAGCCTGCTTTTATTCATCCATCCTTGGTTTAACTTTCTTTGTAGTTAATGCTGCTTTTGTTTCTCTGTAAAATCTTTTATACATGGGATAAAATGAAAGTAGCCTCAGGACAGAGTATTTCTTTCTCAGTGAACCAATTCCTGTAGTAACACCTTAGTCACTTCTCGTCCTGTCCTGTAAGACTATCCTTATATTATGTGTTGCTGTATCTAAGCACCTTGGAATGGCTTAACATTTGTTTATTACCTCGTTATACTTAAAATTATATCCAAAACATTTTTCTTTTCAGTGTTTTTTTCTGCATGTTTTCCCTCCAAACTGAATAAATCTTTGATATTATTTAGGTTCTAAGTTTTACTTATCTTCTTGAATAAGAAATGTGGAAATAAATTATAACATAGAATTTTACCTTGGGTAGGAGGAGCTATCACAAAAACATGATCTTAGTGTTGATGAAGACTTATGCGGCCATTACTTCAAGAATATTGAATGTTGGACAACAAAATATGAAAACTTAGACTGCAACAGTGACTTACAGGTGTTTCCATCGCTGAATGTGAGTATCTGTCTTGCCATGTAAAAATGGAATTAACTTTACTCTCAGTGGGATCCCTGGGTGGCTCAGCAGTTTAGCGCCTGCCTTTGGCCCAGGGGGCGATCCTGGAGTCCTAGGATCGGGTCCCGCGTCGGGCTCCCGGTATGGAACCTGCTTCTCCCTCTGCCTGTGTCTCTGCCTCTCTCTCTCTCTCTCTCTCTCTCTGTGTCTATCATGAATAAATAAATAAATCTTTTAAAAAAAAAAAACTTTACTCCCAGTTAATACAAGTATTAACTTCTATTTTATCAACATTTTGATAGAGAAAATACTTAATTTGTTAATTTTAGGAGCAGTTTAATTTAGGTGTTAGTTTAGGTGTGGTAGTACCTAACAAGGAAGATCCTAGCACCATGGTTTATTTCATTGTTTATAGCAACACCCTTGAAAAAGAACTTTTCATTATCCTTTCTTGGTCTGCTGTCAGTTCCTCTGTTATTCTCTCTTCTATCTATTCCAGTGAGACCTTTGCCCCCCATCATTCCATCAGAACAGCTAGTCAAGGTTTCCAGTACTAAAGGTCTGCCAGCTTAAGCATCTAACCTACTTGAACACTCTCTCCTCCGTTATGCACTTACTCCCTCCTGGCCTGGAAGATTTGATTTCTGAAATGTTAATAGCAATGGGTTGTGAGGCTACAGGTAATTGTAACTTATGTTTTTGTTTGTAGATTCTGAAATGAATATATGTCTTCAGTAAAAATAAAAGGACTTAAAAAATTTGTATTGAAGTATAATAAACATAAAGTGTGCATATCAGAAGTGTATGGCTTGATGATTTTTAGAATCTGAACATGTCAATTTAGACACAGATCAAGTACAGAATATTTTAGCACCTAGACCCTCCTTTTAGTTCCTAATACCTTCACCATCAAAGGTAACTACTATCCTGATGTAAAAAGTAATTTTTCAAAACCAGGATTTTGTTTGGGCTACAAAGAGATGGGTTCTCTGGTTCTTTACCTTTTTCATAACAACTTTTTTCTTAATTGTTAAAACAGTTTCCCCATAGAAATGCAGCAATATAAATGGGATTATTGTATTTTTTTTCCAGAATAAAGAACCAGTTACAAATACCAAAAATGTTTCGAACCAGGAAAGATCAACGGTAAGTCATTTTATTTGTCTTTGAATCAAATGTATACAAGTTCCAGTAAGTCTGAAAAGAATTTGTGATAGATACTTGGAGAGCGGTATATAGTAGTGTGATTAGAAGCAGGGAAGAAAAAAAGCATTATTTCAAATAGTATATTTTTTTTATGTGTGCCTATATGAATTTTGTGTATACTTATTTCTGACTTTGTTTAAAAATTCCTTTGAGGTTGTAATTTAAGGTTAGCTTCTATGCAGCCTTTCTTTCAAATGCCTAGCACAGCAATGGGCTGGTCTGGATCATCATTAAGGATGTAAAGAGGGACGCCTGGGTGGCCCAGTGGTTGAGCGCCTTCGGCCCAGGGCATGATCCCGGAGTCCCAGAATCGAGTCCCACATTGGGCTCCCTGTATGGAGCCTGCTTCTCTCTCTGCCTATGTCTGCCTCTCTCTGTGTGTCTCTCATGAATAAATAAATAAAATCTTTAAAAAAAAAAAAAAGGATGTAAAGAAATAGAAACCATGAATGTAGCACCGGGGGAGGGTGGTATTTGGAGGAATTCCTAAAAGTCAGAAGATGAAGAGGTGGAGAGGGTTGAAGCGGTTGTGTGTACGGACTGAAGGCAGGTTTAGGAGGGCTTAATGTTTGCTTTTTTGCTGTGACTCTTCACGTTCCTTAAGTTTTCCAATGATCTTAAAGAGTAGTTTCATAGTAGGAAGGCATTCCACTCTGCACAGGACAAACTCTTTGCTCTGCATGGACTCTGTTGCAGGTAGAGGAGTAGGAAATGAAAGAGAAGGAATAGGAAATATTCTGGAAGGATGAAGGTGAAAAATTTAATGCAGTTATGTGGAACATTGCAGCATTCATAGGCATTTACAGTGGGCAATTTCATTTCCCAGAGGGACGACTAGTAACATAGATCTTAAGGAGTTTAAGTAATTGAACCTATGTCCTGAAACTGTACAATCTTTCTAACAGTATTATCTGACTTCTTACTACCCCAGTTCAATTTTTTAAAATACCCACATTTAACAACTGAATGCTTGATAATTAGTTTAAAATATGGGAAGAGTAATATTAGAAATATTTGAATGGTGATATTGAGTAAAACATAGAATGGTCACATTTAAGGGAGATTCTTTAGAAATATTGAAAGAGGAAAAATTGAACAGTAGAAAAAGCTTCTTTCCTCCTCTGTTGTTTTGGGTCTGAGAGGACGTCCTCATGGAGAAAAAAGAATGGGAGAAATCCTATTGTCTACTATCCTTCCATTGCTTACCATTCCTTTTCATTCTTTTATAACAGTGGAAAGTAACTCAATTTAGTTGCTAAAAGTTGTTTTATTCTTTTTATTAAAGATTTTATTTATTTATTCATGAGAGACACAGAGAGAGGCAGGGATATTGGCACAGAGAGAACCAGGCTCCTCGCAGGGAGCCCAAGGCAGGATTCAATCCTCTGACTGGATCATGCCCTGAGCCGAAGGCAGTCCCCCAACCGCTGAGCTACCGAGGCATGCCCTAAAAGTTGTTTTAAAATGTGGTGAACAATTGTTTAACTATAGCTTATATAGCAGTTTTTAAAATTTAAAATTAAAAAAAATTTTTTTCCTGTTTCAGGATGTTGTAGCCAGAACACAGAAAGATGGGTTTCACATCTTTATTGTTTCTATTAAAACAGAAAAAACAGATGCAAGATGGAATTTGAATGGTATAGTTTAACTGCATGCATGTTTGTTGTCTGCTTTTACTGTGTTCTATATTTTTGTCATTGATCCAAATCTACAGTTTCTATTAAAATACCTCATTCAAAAATGAATTTCTGTTACTCAAAAATAAGTGATCTGTGTATCTGGGGGGGACTTAAAACTTTATGCTTATCTTAACTGTAATATTTGTTTTTTAATAGATTGGAAATTTAAAATTAAGACAAATTTTTAAAATTTCAAACTATAGAAGATATAAAATTCTTTATCCTTTCAGATTAAAAAAAACTTTTCTAATATAGAAGTAGGTAGATAACATTTTAATTGTATTTGAAGTAGATTACATTCTCTCTCATGAAAATGGCCATTATCAGGGGTTTAAAATTTTTATTTTAAAGCATCTGTAGCTTGGGAGTAGAAGTAGCCTATTTGGCAACTGTGGCTTCTGTGGGTTTGTGAGCAACCTGCCCACCCCGTGACCCCCAAGGTAGGCCCTCTGTGTCTCATTAAGCTATATAGTTCCTAGTGGGCTTACAATAAGCAATTTTTAAGGGAACGAATGTTTTCACAGCTCTTAGAATTGCTTTGGCTGTCATTTTCCAGAGTGAGTGTCTGCTGGACCAATAGTAGCCAAAAAGCGTGTGAAGTGCCTAGGGATTTGCAAACTGCTCTGATTCATCCACTAGGGATACAGAAGCGAAGCCAAGCTTTGCCTTTGAGAGTTGCCCAGTCCAGTGGGTAGGCAGAAAGTATTGAGGTGACATAGGTGTTGCTTCAGAGGAGGCACAGGACTGGCGTACCACAGGGGAAGCTGGTGACGGTGGCTGCTCTGGAAGAGTGGGAAGTAGGGCCTCTTCCCAGAGATGATATAATGGGCCATATAAGAGAGCCAGACACCTTGAGGCCATTCTGCTACCTAGACTTGTGGGTCCCCCCCACCTTCCCAGGTATTGTGTCTTTTAACCTAATGCCAGCAGGCAGTTTTAAGGCCCCACTAGTTAGTAACTGGAGCAGTTACTGAGACCTATAAGTCTTGTACTGTATTTGGTACTCTGTTTATTATTGTTGTCCCGGACAACAACCCAGACTGGGAGCTTGAATTCAGTAATTTATCCCAAGTTACATTAAGGAAGAGAGTCCTCAGTGAGGTCAGTGACTTAACATGGAGCCAGTCAAAGGCCAGTACTACTCTGCTATCTGCATAAGATCAGATTTGGCCCACTTTTGACAACAGCATGTATACAAGTAAAGGTATCTTGGTGAGATTACATGCCCAATGACTGGTTATATAATATCTTATGTGTGCTAGGTAAACAGCATTTGTTAACTTGATTTGTGTTCTTGGAACCTTCTGGAAAATGAGCTTACATTTAAAAATATAAGAAAAGACTAATTCTTCAATTTCTTTATCCCCATCCTTACCAGTTTCTCTTTCTATGATTGGGCCTCATGGATATATTTCTGCATCAGATTGGCCTTTGATGATTGTAAGTACTTCCCATCATTTTTTCCTTTTTTTTTTTTTTTAAATGAACTTCATATCCTAATTGGAAAATTTAACAATTTAAAGAGCTCAGTGGTGGGTATCTTTTAGTAGCTAATGCTTTAACATACTCTCTATTTCTAGTTCCAGAGTGACAGCAAAGTAAAAGATTAGATACTTGAAAGAAGAAATGTCCATTTTCAAATGATCACAGACCTTAACTGACTTAAAATTGCTCTTCTTCCTACAGTTTTACATGGTGATGTGTATCATTTATATTTTATATGGCGTACTCTGGCTGACGTGGTCTGCCTGTTATTGGAAAGATATATTAAGAATTCAGTTCTGGATTGCAGCTGTTATTTTCCTGGGAATGCTGGAAAAAGCAGTTTTTTATACTGAATATCAAAACATCAGCAGCACTGGGCTATCAAGTAAGCTGTGACTTTATAAGTACAGTACAGTGCCGGAGGTCCCTAGCATTTGTGAGCAGGGCAGCGGTTTGGGAATAGTTGCATTAGAGATGAAGAGGATGAGAGCCAAGAAGGGAATGTCAGAGTGGGGCTCCAGTCTAGGCTAGTGGATATATCGTCCTCATTTTCTATTCCCCCGCTTTCCTTCACTTTCCTTCTGGGAAGAGTAAACTCCCATTCCAGTGACTGACTTAAAACAACAGAAGTTCCACATATTAGGTGCTGCTGATCCTTCTAACATATTTCTCTGTGTTCTCCCCATAATCTTTCTTCTCCTTTCTGCTCCAGAAAAGAAGGGACATTTGACCCCAGGGAGTAAAATCAGTAGTGCGAGGGTGGATGGTGCCTGCAACCTTCTGGCGTTCTCTATGTCTTCACTCTCACAGAGAACTGCATGTGGGCCATCAGAAGCCCCTCATGGTTTATATACGGAAATGTGTGAATCAGGGAGGGCCAGCAGTTGGGCATCCTCACATGTGTGCCCCAGATTTCTAGAAGGTGGCATGCAAAACGGCCAGAAGTAGAGAAGTAAAGGTACAATCTCATAACCAAAGCTTTGGAAAGGGAGGTAACTCGAAAGGATTGAAAGTGCTTAGAAGTGTGCTTCTGAGTGATCTGTTAACGTGATCTTTGTGCAGATTTTCATAGGGTATGGTTATGTCTGTTATTTTTGTAATACTCTAGAAAAAAAAGAATTAATATAGATTTGGCATAAGTTGATAATTATTGAAGTTGAGTATTGGGTAAATAGGAGTTGACTATATCCCTATCTCTGTGTTGGGGAACGTTTGTAATTTCCCACAATAAAAGGATATGTACAAGAGAAGAAAGAAAGGACAAATATCCAGGGAGACATATGAGTGGTATTATTACTCTATAAGAGGTTTTAGTGATATTTGCATGCGTGTGTATGTGTATGCTCTAAACCAAATAATGAAGGAGAGGCTGCTGCTCATGGTTGGGGAGGAAAGCATTCTTCAATGTCAAGTAAGGCAGATCAGCTCCTTTGCTTTTAGTGGTGGTCATTTCTTGTTGAGGGAAGGTGGAGGGTGGCCTAAACATCGGTGAGGAGCAGCAGAAGGGATACATGAAATACATGAAGGGATGAGAGGCCACGTGCCATCTTCAGGACTTGAAGCCCTCTGTCTGAGATGACATGAGGCATTGGAAGAGAAACCCCACATTGCTGCCAGTGTCTTTGAGGAGTCCTGTGAAAAAGAGAGGTGCCAGAAGACAGCATGGCTGCTGCTGTTTCTAATTATCCCAAGTGAGAAGTCTGTAACCCAGGCTTTTTCTTGCTTAGCACTGATCCTAGAAGGATAGATTTTAGAAAAAGATTGCAGAGACAGGAAGTGGTGATTGTTAGGACCCAGCATGGGAACCTTAAGAATAGGTCATGGCATATTGACTTCTTTTGTGCTTCTAAACTTAGTATTTCTGGACTTCTTCAAGGTATTTGACAACTGTGATTTCTTGTGGACAAGGTGGAGAAATGTGAACTGAAAAGTGGTTGTGCGACCATGTCTAAAGGGCTCATGCACATAACCACCATCAGTCTTGTCAGTATAGAGCTATGTTGTCCAATTGTAGCTAAAAACCACATCTGGCTGTTTAAGTAGAATTAATTTGGCAGCTCACTTCCTTAGTTGTCCTGCATTTCAAATGCTCAGTAGTCACATGTGGCCAGTGATTACTTTATTGGACAGCAAAGATGTAGAACATTTCCACCATTCCAGAAACTTCTACTGGACAGCCCTGGTCTGGAGAATGGTTCTCATTCCTGGCTGCACATAAGCATCACTAAAGAACTTTAAAATAATATCAGTGCCAAAGATTATGGTTGGCATAGGCCTAAGAATAGGTTCGGTTTTTTGTTTAAGATTTTTTTATTTCTTCATGAGAGATATAGAGAGAGGCAGAGACATAGGCAGAGGAAGAAGCAGGCTCCCTGGGGGGAACCTAATGTGGAACTTGATCCCAGGACCCCAGGATCACAACCTGAACCAAAAGCAGACGCTCAACCACTGACCCACCCAGGTGCCCTGTAAGAATTGGTTCTGTTCAGAGGCTTCCCATGTGATTCTAGTGTGCAGGATTGAGAATCACTGGTTTAGAAGGAGGTTTTGAAGGACATCTGTCTCACAGGTTTCAGACCTTGTTGCTGGTTTATTCTTACGATTCACCTGACATTTATTGCAGACCTTTGCATATATAGAGAGCATTTGCTAAAATTTTGTGGATGATGTGACATTGGCAGAATTGTTAATACTGGAGGTATAGAGAATAATTTTAGATGGACCTTTCTAACCTCGGTACTTGAAGGAATGCGAAGAGTTTTGATATCTTGAATGGAAAAGTGAAACTTAATAGGCAAGACGTTGAACTTGAAGTTGAAGTACAAGTTGCAAAAATACAAGTGGGAAACTTTTAAAGGATTTAAAGGTTGAAGCTGATGAAGAGTAAACTCAACATAGGCAATTATAGAGTGGTTGCCTCCCACCAGCTCCTACAACCTTAGGTTACAATAGGAGGGTGAGCAGTGAAGATGTTGAGTCCTACTTTGCAGTCCAACTGTACCAGGAAGGTTGTATTCACTTTCCTCCAAGAGGGAAAAAGTCCAGAGCAGCTCATGGAGGAATTTGAAAACATACCACCCTTAAAAGTTTGTCATCCTATACCTCTTCACACTCTGCATGCTGTCTTGGGGAGCTCATCCATTGTTTTCCTCCTAAAGCTTAGAATCTCCTGGCCGTATGTCTGTCCTAAGCTGCAGACCTAGTAGCTGGTCACCTGCTAAACAATCTTCTGAATGTCCTGCAGACTTCTCAGTCTCTGTATGGCAGAAAAGGAACTCACCTTTTCTGCCTTTGTACTCGACTCACTTCTGTCCAAACCTAATGCTCCTGTCAATGGATGGCCCTGCCTCCATTAGACCTTGGCTCCATCCTCTTGCCACCCTCTTCCTCTCCCTCTAGTTCCACATCTGTCTACAAGGCATTTGACAAGGTCTCTTATGATTTCTTATGGATAAGTTGGAACTGAAAACAAGAATAAGTAGGTGGATTCACTACTGGCTTCTGAATGTCTTTCTGGTTTTCTCTTCACTGCCAGGACTGTGCTCTCCTCTCTTACCTGGGTTTCTACAATAGCCTCCTGAGCATTTTCCTTGCCTGTAGCCTAGTTCCTTTCCAAACCATTAGGTAGAACAGTCTTGATAAAATAAAGCTGTCGGTTTTACTCTAAGAATCAGCAAACTTCTTTTGCAAAGGCCATATAGTAAATATTTTTGGCTTTACAAGCCATACACCAGTTTCTTACTACTAGTCATCTCTGCTATTGTAACACAAAAGCAGCCACATGAAGATGTAAACAAATGGGCGTGGCTGTGTTCAAATAAAACCTTATTAACAAAGGTAGATTTAGGGCCAGATTTGACCTATGGGCTGTAGTTTGCCAATTCCTTTTTTACTCCCTTGTTTACTATCATTGACTTCCCACTGCCCTTAGCATAAAATCTAGACTTGTAACATGGTCTGAAAACCTTACGTGATTGTCCCTACCTCTCACCACCTCTTTTTTTCACATCCCTCATTACACTGTGCTGCAGACATACTGAACTTTGACGTCCTACAGTGTATTTTACTTTTCCTCCTTCATGCCTTTTCATAAACCATTAATTTTGCTTTCCTCTTTATTTCCCCAAAATAGTTCATTTTTACTAGGCCTTCCTTCAAATCCTGACTTAGATATTACTTCCTCTGAGCAGCTTTTCTAGATCCACTTGCACCTCCCTCAAATGTAGATTAGGTTGGCTTCCTCACAGTCCTAGGAGATACTATGTTGCCTCTAGCACTCACCATGCTGAGTTCTGTCTATCTACTTGTCTTAACCAGAGTATAATCTTCATGAAGGAAGTGAACATGGTGTCTCTTTTCCTCTTAGAGCCACACAGTAGGAACATAAACAAATAAATGATGAAGGCATCCTGGAGAAAAGAAAACTCTAGAGGACCTTATGGTTTTCAAATATTTGCAGGAGAGAACGAGGTATATAGTTGTTTGTAGCCTCAAGGGGAAGAACAAGAACAGAGGGAAATTGAGGGAGACAGCTTTTAGATTGATGTAAGCAAGTTGTATCTAATAGAGCTAGCAAATATGGAATGAATTCTCCAGGAGGTTATGAATTCCCATTTACTGAGGTTTTCAAACATCAGTTGGATTAGATGACCTTTGAAGCAAATAGAGTTAATTCATCTGAGGTCCAAATATAGTTATACACAGTACATATTTAGAATTTTGATGACAAGCCTCTAGATGTACACAGAATGATTTCTTATCTTTCCTCCCATCAGCCCAAGGTTTACTGATATTTGCAGAGTTGATATCTGCCGTTAAGAGGACATTGGCTCGTCTCCTTGTGATCATTGTGAGCTTGGGCTATGGCATTGTGAAGTAAGTATTGGTGTGTTGGAAAGATACTGTGCCTCCAATCTGGTGACTCCTCCCTTCTACATTAGGAGCTCTGTGAAACTGAACACTCCTCAGTATTATAACACAAATCCTATATGAAAATACCTGCAAGAAGGTGTTTTTAAGGGATTTCCATGTACTTACCACTTTACCCTGTCCTCAAATAAAGATCTTGAGGGATGCCTGGGTGCCTTAGTGGTTGAGCGTCTGCCTGCAGCTCAGGGCGTGATCCTGGGGTCTGGGATTGAGTCCCACATTGGGCTTCTTGCAGGGAGCCTGCTTCTCCCTCTGCGTATGTCTCTGCTTCTCTCTGTGTCTCTCATAAATAAAATCTTAAAAAAAAAAATAAAGATCTTGAATTTGAATTCCAGTAGCTTTTTATAGTTAGATGAATAAGTAATACACCTTAAGGATAGGAAAATTTTAAATGATTCTTAAAGTTCAAACCATTTTCTATTTCCTAGACACATAGTTATTCTTTTGTTGTTCCCCCCAGTGAGGGGCTTGAACTCACAACCCCGAGATCAAGACCTGAGCTGAGATCAAGAGTCACTCAACTGACTAAGCCCCCCAGGTGCCCCAGGTTACACTTTTACAATTGTATTTGAGTATTTTAAGGGGGAAAGGACTAAACACCAGGTTAGCAGATTTCAGACTACAACCTGGCCGTTCAGTGAGGACCCTACTCCTTCCAGACTCTCTCAGGCCCATCTTTTATGTCTCAATCCTGAGAGTTAGTAAGAATGAACATAGAAGAGCTTGTCCTCTTTATCCTCCCTGCCCTTTTTTGGGTACCATTGTTCTTTATTCTTAAGATTCTCTAATTTCTAGAAGCTCAAGCTTTCAGATTGGATCACCTGCTATATCTTTTCACCGCAATTGCCTTTCAAGTTCCAGATTTCTCCCTTCAGCCCTTAACTCTCCCAAGTATTTGCTTCACTGTCTTTCTCAAAGCTTCATGTGTCAGAATTCCTTGTGATTTCAGTATCTCTGTGTGTGATCCTATGAGTAACCTGATCTCACCTTCTCACCTCCACTGCTCTCACCTCTCTCCCCCATTACTGATTCTTACTGCCACTTTCTAGACTTATTATATTGAACTGTGCCCTCTTTATCATTGTAAATGTTAAGCAATCCACTTTTCAACTGTCACCTTGTTTCCTGTTTACTTTTCCTAATAGATCGGCCTGTTCCATTCTTTGACCCTGGTGTGGCCTCTGACCTTTTGATACTGCCACCTTCAATCCATCCTGCAGGATGCTGAAAGTCTGCATATACCTGAAGCCCTCTGCCTTTCTCTTCGTCAGCCTCCCTCAATAAATCCATCTTCTGTCCACTTCAGGGTCATACCCAAGCCACAGAATCTGTCTGAGAAGAACACCCGACCATACTGCAGGCTCATCTCACTTAAAGTGCACCCTGTGTGCCCCTGGCAGTTTCTAGATCCTCTTGCCAATTGATGGTCCCTTTCCCACTCTGCGGAAGACCATTATCCCCCCTACTCTCCCCTCTAACCTCAGACTCCCTACCCACGTCTGTCTTAGCCAGTCTTGTTTCTTTTCTCACTGAGGAAATGGAAGCCATTAGAGGGGAATTCCAGTGCATTCTGCCTCCAAGTCTGTACCATTCCCCCCATATCTGGACCACATACAGCTCTTTTCCTCCTCTTGAAGGACACGTGGTAAAGTCCTTCCCCTGGCCTCAGTCCTGGATCCTGTTACCTCCCACCTGTCCGTAGGTTCTGTTTCCTGTGGTGTCATCAGCTTTCCTGCATCACTGCCATCAGCATGTGGTTGGTTCAGTCATCTTCCAAAGCATACCTCCCTCAATCCCAGCCAACCATCTCCACTGTTTCTCCTTCATTTCTCTTCATTCCTGTGCAGCATCATTTCTCAGATGCATAGTCTGTACTTGCCACTTCAACTTCCCTCATTTTCTTCTGAACATACCCTGGTTTTGTCTCCATCCTCCATTGAGACTGCTCTTGTCAATCACCTGGACTTCTGTTGCCAAACCACATGGCTTTGTTCAGCCTTGGTGCCAGGGTCCTGTGGCAGCTTGAGTCTTAGAGCCCCTGGCTGCTCCTCCCCAGTGCCCCCTGCTAGACTCTCTTGATCTTCCTTAGCTCCAGCACTGAAGTGCCCCAGGCTCAGGCCCCAGACCTCCATTCCAGTGACTCGCATCCCTGGGCAAGCTTATCCAGTTTCTTGGCTCTAAAATCAGGACACATCATCCACAGTGAACCCACACCTCCTTTCCACAGCCACCACCCTGGGTCCAACCACCATCTTCTCTCCCTAGATGACTTCAGTACCCTCCTAACTGGTTTCTTGCATCTGCCCTGGTCTCCTCTTGGTCTTTTCAGACACAGCAGCGGCAAAGATGATCCTTTTTAAACACAACTCTGATCTCCTTACATTTCTGTTCATCTCACTCAGTGAAACTCTAATTCCCTTCTGTGGTTTTTCAGATAGTTGACCTTACCTCCTACCATTCTCCCTTTTGAACCCTCTGCTCTGTCCTGTTGCTGTTTCTTAAAACACAATAGACATTTCCTCTCAGTGCAGTAAAGACCTCTGCCTGTAAGTATATTCCCGCAGATCCAGGCATGGTTTGCTTTCTCACTCTCATCTCTGCTCACCATCCTCTCCCAGGGAGGCTAGTGCTGTCAAGATGCCCAGTGTGGTGCACACCTTCGTTCACTCTGACCCTCACCCTTTGTATAGTGCCACTTGATGCATATGTTAGGATTTGCTGTCTCTTCTCCTCCCCTTGGATATGACTTCCGTAGAGTAAGAGCTTAGCCTGTCTTGTGCCCTTCTGCTTAAGGCCCCAGCACAGTCCCCACAGCACATAGTAGGCATGTAGTAAATATGCACTGAATGCACACCCATATACTTGTGAGCTTGAGATTGGTATAGTTAGCAAGATTTTAGCCAGAAAACCTTTTTTCCATTGGGTATTTATTGAGATTCCTTCTTAAGTGCTTTTGGGGTTTTGGTAGGTTTGTTTGTTTTTGGCCTTAATACAGTATACAGACCACAGAGTCCTCATATGAAATCTTGTACCCCACAGTTCTAGTTACGAAATTAGAGCACTCATAGTTCTGGCCGTTGGAAGACTCTAGTTAGGGGGCTATAACGAGTCAGAATTTAGATGAACTATATTAGATACAGAGTCTTAAATATAAGCTGTGGATATTAGTTTAATTTTTAGTTAGAGTTTGTTTTAAAGTGACTACATTACGTATTTTTCCAAAATCAGTTTTTTTCTTCTAATTACTCTGGCAAGAGGTTTTTGAGCTAAAACATTTGTGCTATGTGATTTGCAAATTTCATGAAATTTTAGTTCTGTTTTCAAATTACTCATCACAGAAATCACCGTCTTTGCATTTTCCAAAATCATTGATATTTTTAAAGAATCAAAATGTTACTTTAATTCTTTTCAATGTAAAGAAGGGAAACTACAGTGTGATAGCACTCTTCTTTTGGGTATTGAGAGAAGAAAGGGAATAGAATTCAATATCCTAATATTCCTGTTCTTTTTCTGCCTAAATCAGAAGATCAGTGAATTATCTCTTAAAAAAGAAAAAAAAAGTATCCCAGAACAGTTTTTAATTAATGTTCATGAAAGAATTAAGTTACTGTTCCTGCCAGTGACACGAGTTGCCACTGAGCCTCCTAGGTTTCCTCAGGCTACTCTTCTGTCCTGTGCAAGTGAATTCCTGAGTTATGTTAATCCTCTGGCACCTGGGTAGCCTCAACATGTTGCTTTATGGGTATCAGTACAGCATCTAGTCCTAGAGAAGGAGGCCTGTTTCTCCTGAGCCTGTTTTGCCCTGTTCAGAGGAAATAAACTATTTCTTAAAACCAAGGAAGCAGTGGCTGGATTGGGGGGAAAGGGGCTGATTCGATTCGATAATTATTTCTCTGTGTTGAAAATAGAGCCATTTACTGTATTCAAATGCATTTTATTTACTGTTGCTTTTCTTTCTTTTATTATTATTTTTTTCTGTTTCCTCTCCCTCATTCTAGACCCCGTTTAGGAACAGTCATGCACCGAGTGGTTGGACTGGGAATTCTCTACTTTATCTTTGCAGCTATTGAAGGCGTGATGAGAGTTATTGGGGTAAAAACCACACAATTCCACTTACATCCCTTTTTGTTGTTGCTATGAAATAAGATTACTTTATATCTCCTAAGATACATTTTTAAAGATAGAACATTTATGAAAAAGGCCTAATTTGAGCTTTTTTTCCCCTATTGGACTATTTCCCTTTTTAAGTACTTCCTTAAAGTAGTAAAAGTCCAGACAGAGTACCTCTTAAAACATGATCAATTATGAAGGCATTGCTTGATGTCATCTTAGGAATTAGCTCCATCTCAAAACCCGCCTGGTTATTCTTTATAAAGAAATTTATCTTTGTCATTATGCAGTCGGAACACATTCATTTCTTCCTTAACCCTTGGTCTGAACATGTGGAAGTGAACGGAATCAACTGTACCCTTTACACATGCAGATATTACATCTCATCACTCTTAAGTTTCATTTGATTATAAGTAGTCTCTGACTCTCATGGACTCAATGTTTGGGGATTCAGCAGACTCTATTCTTGGAAGAATCACAAGAAGGTAGTATCTAGGGGGAAATGACTTGGGTAATGTGGGCAGCAGTGCTTTACTCTCTAGAAAGAGGCAGAACATAGATATCGGAGAAAACCCCTAGGTTTCTAGCTCTTGGTTTTTCTTAGTAATATGGTTGGTGACTGAGTGATTAAGCAGCACCTTACTTGATTCAAAGAACGTAGTAATTTTTACCTAAAGTGTCTTTTGAACTAGTTGTGTAAATCAGATCACTGCACAGAGTGAATGATCTTATGTTGCCATATAAGTTTATTTCATGTATTTTTTATTTTGAAGCAGGCCATTTGTCCAGTTTGTTAAAAGCCTCATTCTTCTTTTTTTCTATTATCTTTGATACATCTGCATTCTGTAATAGATACACCTGCTCTATTCATCTTTGACTCTTTGAAAGGTACATTTATTTTTACTTCTACAGAGTAGTGAAAAGCTTTGCATTTATATATATATAATTTACAGGAACTAGTCTTTGGTAGAAAAAAAGAAGATAAATATCGCACATAAGATGTAGTATATGCATTGTATTTCTTTTAAATTTTGCATAGCCAACATCTTAGATATAACTTTTAAATATGATTTTTTGTCAAATTTTGATTAAAGTATTTCATCTATGGTTTGTTTTTACCCTTCCATGGTCCCCCAGCCCGTTTTTTTTTTCTTTCTATGTCCCTTCACAGGTAGTAGGAAAGATCAGGAATCCATTTCATTAGTAGCTCTTGGTGTGGATTTGGTGTGGAGATGGGAGAGATTGAAACGGTTGACCTAAGTAGGTCTGGAGACATGACATGTTTTATTTGCCATTCTGTAATACAATTTTACATTATCATTGAACCAGGTAGATGACAAGCTAACATCTGTTGCTGCCAAAACAAAAATTTCCATATGCTTAAACACAATTTTATTAGGAATAAAATTTAAAAAGAAAGGAATAAAATTTTTATGTGGCTTTTGTAAAGTGATGAGATGAGCTAAATTGTTTTTCTTTTTCATGTAATAATTTCTATAGTATAATGAAACGTTTATATTCAGATTTCCCTCCGTTTTTATCTTTCAGGGTTCTAACCATTTAGCTGTTATTTTTGGTGACATTATTTTGGCAGTTATTGACTCCATTTTTGTATGGTTCATATCCTTTACTATGTCCTTAAGTACTTTGTTGTATCATTAAAATCCGATTACTTTCAGTTTGTAATAATAGTAGTAATAGAAATATAGGTATACATTATTTTTAATCTCAATATAGGAATTTAGTTGAAGGTGAAAAAGCAACAGTTCCCCAAAGAATATCTTTATTTTTTCTCTTCAGCAAACTTAAGTGCTCAGTATGTACCCCATACTGAGGAGGCAAAGAAGATAAAGTTATTGTCCCTGCATTTAAGAAATTCATATTCTGGTAGGGAAGACAAATATATAACTAGGAACAATATAGCAATAGTAATTGCCATCTTAAAGAGGTGCTATGCTAACAGGGAAGAAAAAGTAATTCTAGCACAGAAATCAGGAAAGACATCACAGAGATGGACATTAAATTGTGACTTGGAGGACAGATGGGATTAACTGGGCAAAGATTTGGGGAAAAGGCATCCTGGGAAGAATTGGAAACATATAGTTGGAAGCATGAAAATATGGGGGCATTGGTGTAATGTCCCAGAATAGCTTGGACATGTGGGAGAGAATTGAGGAAAAGGCATCCTGGGAAGAACTGGAAACAAATAGTTGGAACCATGAAAATATGGGAGCAGTGGTGGAATTTTCCAGAATAGCTTGGACATGTGTGGGAGAATCACAGAAGGAAGGAAAAGATAGAATGACATGCTCAAGAGTCTCAAGTTCCTTCTGTGGGGAGAAAGGAGAAGGGAATCAAAGCCACACGGGTGAGTAGCATGATGAAATCTATGTTAGAAAGAACTCGTGAATGACATTTAAAAATGACCTGGAAGGGGCACCTGGCTGCCTCAGTTGGAAGAGCATGCAACTCTTGATCTCAGGGTTGTAAGTTCATATGCCATGTTAGTTGTAGAAATTATTTAAAATCTTATAAATATAAAAATTACCTGGAAAAGGAGAGTCTAGAGCCTAGAGGTAGAAAGTCTAGTAAAGAGTCATTTGCAGTGGTTCAAAAAAGAGATGGTGAGAATTAAAAATAGGGCAAAGACTCCAGATGATAGACTTAGTAGCAATGGGTGGGAAAAGAAGGAAGAGTGCTCCAGAGAGGTACTGCGTGTCTCATTTGGGTTGCTGGGGACAGTGTTGCCATCCCCAAAGCAATGAATTTAGGGAAGGGAGGGACCATGATGGGTGAAGTTTGAGCTGCCTAGGGCATTAGTGTTAAGTACAGTTGGAAATCCCAGTCTGGGTTTATAAAAGGAATTGGAAGTGATGATAAAGGTCATAGGTCATCTTCATGAGAGAGGTTACAACCCTTGGAAGCAACCCAAGAACATGTAGACCAGTGAGAGAGGAAAGGACCAGGATGGTGCTTAGTAGGGTAGAAATGTGCATGAAAGGGACACCAGGGTGAAGGGAGGTAGAAGAACCCAGAAATTGTCCTGGAGTAAGACTGGGTGAGCTCTGGTAAGGAGGGGTGGTCAACAGTGTACAGTACTACAGAGAGAGTAATTGGCGAGATGAATTGGCAAGGTGCACCTGTGTGGTCATTCCAGAGGTCATAATGAGACAGCAGGAGAGCAGGTTCAGTGACATTGGTGGGGCAGAAGCCGTATTACAGTAGGAGAAGTTTTAGAAGCATGGTAACCCATCCTTGAGGACTCCTCACTGCTTCAGTGACTTCAGTGGAGTCTGAAAAATTCCATCCTTTTTAATTCCAAGGCAGAGCCCTCTAATATGCTTTGTGGAAATGGGAGGAACTCTAAAGAAATTGTGACCTGCTCAGAGCAGAATGCAGTGTTATGCATATCCTAGAACATTATTTTTATCTTTTTCTTCTGCATTTACATCCTACCTGAAATTTTTTTCTATAGATTTTCTTTTTACCAAGTTTTTTTTGTTTCCACTGTCTTCAATACTTATCTTTTAGCTTTTAATATTAAATGTTATTTCATTTCCTTGTAATTTCTTTCCATTTTCTCATCATTGTTTCTCACAGGAAAGCCAGAGGGCTTGAGTCTGCCGGTGTTCTTCCTGTGCAGGCATGCTAACAAACAGGGCCTTTTCTGAGGCCCCTGTAGGTGGTTTCTTATAAACCCAGTCCGTCTGTTCTTTAAACTCCGTTTGTGAATTTTTAGTACGCTTCCACGTTAAAAACAAAACAAAAAACCTTGTATTTACTCTCCTTACTCTCTAAAGCAATGATTCTTACCCTTGTTTGGGTACTGGGACCGAAGATACCTTTGAAAGTCGAATGAAAGCTGGGGAACATCTTTTCAGAAAATTATAAACACACATCTCATAAAAGTTTTGCCTGTGGTGGGGCATTTAAAAACCTCCAAAGTTATATCCATGGATTCCCTACTGTCTGAAGAGTATCTAGTTAAGAAATAATACCTCATTTAAAGAGTTGTTTCTGACTGAATGTGCTTAAAAATAATCTGTCATACTTCTGTTTGAATCCAGGTTTGTTGAAAAAAAAATACATCTTTTCAGAGAATACCAATTTTCCTATAGCGTAATTTTTATATTTTCCACATGAAAAGATATTGAACTGTTCAAAAGGTGAACTACATTCCTCAGTTCTGCCCACAACCAGTGCTCTGGCCGTGAGTGCTCATCCCCAGGGGCTGTGGTTCTTGTTCCACTGCAGCCACATCCCTTGTTATTGAAGCTCAGCTGACCTGAGGAGAATGGGCAGGCAGGATGAACATACCTGGCATCAGTATAGGCAGAATTGCAGTGAAGGTGAGCCTAGCTGTTAGTCTCAGCATTATCAGCTCCAGATTCTTCTCTTCTGTCATTGCCTATTTAGAAAGTGAGCTTAAGATACCTGCTTAATATGGAATGGTCTCTACAATTATATATGCTTGGAGCCTTTCATAAGTGAGCAAGTATGTTCTTCAGTCAATTAAACTATAGACATTGCATTTTTTAAAAATCTGTATTGTCTTTTTTCCTGGTAATTTATAGATTTGTATTTCCTGTTCACCATCCACAAGGTAGTTCACTGGGAAAAACAGTAATGCATGCTACTTGGCAGAAAATTCCAAAGATAAGCAGCTCTAAAGGCCCATTTTCATCTGGATTTGAATGAGAGCAATTTATCATCTGTACAGAGAATGTTGACTTTGGTCCATTCCAACATGTAGGGAACCAAATTGGAGTGGAGAGAGAAGGAAAACAGCCAGAAGATTTAGTTTGCTTAATGATGAATATTTTTAATAAAGGTGTTCGAAATAAAAGTCATAAAGAAGTCCAGAAATTAAAATTATCTTGGTTAGTGTTTCATGGTGAGAGAAAGAAAATTTAGTATTGATTTCAGCTTGAACTTGAATTTCCTGTTTGCTTTTAGATAGCTATTTGGCAGTTCTCTTTACGGAGATGAAAAATCTGCATTTTCTTTACAGGAAGAGTAGATTTCTTAAAGGATTACAAATGGCAAGCAAAAGAAGCAGGTCTACATACAGCATTGAGTGCTTGCATAATGACCCTGCTTCCTTTGCTTTGATGAACCTAACAGAACTATCCTGTAAGAAAATGATTCTAAAAAAAAAAGAAAAAAAATAGCTTGAAAAATTCAGAGCCGTAGTTTTTCTCATGAAGCCCTCTTCCTCTTTTTTTTCTGCTTGTTTTTAATTTTTTGCTGTTTTGCTGCAGGCAAATGATTCTGATCTTGTGCTTCTGGCCAGCCTCCCTCTCTCTCTTCTTGACTCTGGCTTGTGCTGGTGGATATCCTTTTCCTACTGCAGCAACATGTTCACATTGCTTCTCACTTCAGGATAACCAAGCCTGTTTGCTTTCGTAACCACTTTCCTTTAATGGAAGAAATGATCTAAGCTTTACTTAAATTTAATAATGTCTTGGTAAGTGGAGGTTTAGGCAGTTTTGAATTTACTTTTGATCTTTTTATTCCTTGGCTTCTAAGAAATACTATTGAATTATTAAATGAGACCATATTTTTAACATAGAAAATTCATTTTAGTCAAGAATTTAAAATATTTGTCTTGATAATGCTTTTTTATAAATTCTGACAGTAACCTTAATTGGTTGAATTGTGTTATTTTAGAAATTGATCTTTTGCAATTCACTGGTCATTTAAGAGGACTGAATAGCAGTTTTGATAATTTGAGTGCTTCCATGAAGGTTCTGATTTGTGAAGTATTTGGAATTTAAAATAGGCATAAATACAAAATTTGCCACTTCAGTTCTTTTGCTCCACTCTGCTATTTTCAGCATATGGATCACAAACAAAATGTGGTGATGTGTTCCAGAGGAAGCACCCCTTTTACAAAGAGAGAACTCTGGCTTGAATCCCAGCTTCACTGCTGAGGAGTCAGTAGAGAAGCCCCTTTTTGCTTCTTCATACTTAACAGTGTTGAGCTTTACCTGATCCCTGTGCTCATAGAAAACAGCCATGGTTAAGAAAACCCCTACCCTTTCATCTTCTGCGGAAAAGGCTTACTACAAAGGACCTCCCTTCCCAATAGGACTTTCACGAGACTCCCAGATGCCCCCTTGTTACCTATGTCTGGCCTTGCCAGACACAGACCCTCCTGACCATTCTGACCAGAACACCAGCCTGGACTCAGACACCAATCTAACCAGACCACCAGCCGTTTCCTTCCCCAGGTCCCTGAGCTTCGTCCAGCACAGTCCTCCTCAGTGCCCCTCTTGAGAATCTGCACACCTCAGGGAAAGTCATTCCCAGAGCAGCTGTCTAGTCACGCCACCCACTTCCCCACATCTGCTTTCCAGTCTTGTTTTCCCCTCCCTGTAAAAACAAAGCCCTGTCTGACCTGACTTGTGGGACTCTTGCAGATCTTAGAGTTAGAACATTCTCCCCATTGTAATAAGCCTCATCTGCAATAACCTTTTGAATGAAGTCTCTCCTGGCCTAAGTCCCAATTTGTTTTATTTGACATATTTCATTTTTCAGTTCATACAATGGAATTGATAGATGACCTAACTCTTAATTATGGTCATTGAGAGGATAAAATGAGAGTAGACTAGAAAGAACAAAGTAAGAAACAGAGACAAAGGCAAAAGCCAAAGAGCATGTCATAATATGATCTGTAAGTGTCTGACCTAAGTTGGGCTCGTTGTTTAGTGTATATACTGCTCTGCCCTGTTTTGGGAGCTTGACATTGAAGGAGAACATCATAGAGGTTCTTGCTTGTTGTCTTCCTCAAAGTTTATTTAGTTCAGACCATGGTAAATGGTAAAGCAAAAAAAAAAAAATGGTAAAGCAAAATCTGTGATAAAAATCAATAACATGATCATACAGTATTGGCTTAAATAATATTTTCTGTGTTTTTATAGGAACTATAGCAGTACTAATTTTAGAAATGTAGACGATTCTTTGTTTTTTAACTGTTTATTACTATTTAAAATGTTTTTCCTTAACTTTTTTTGCACATATTTATAAGTTTGGCACAAACAATGAAGACTCTAAGGCTAAGAAAGAACACAGTGAAATTTTCTTTATACAGGCACTTTACAAATACTCTGATCTTTGCCGTACTGGGTAAGCTATTTAATTTTTTATATTATAATAAATTATTTCAGTATTGCATGTTCCTTTAAAGATGACTCTTTTGATGTGTTTCAGCTTCTATAGTGTTTATGGTATGGACAACTAAGACATTTAGAATTGCAAAATGTCAATCAGTAAGTATAACCTTCCTATTTAAATAGTTTTTCATTTTTAATTATACCAGTTTGGGTAATTTTGAAGAATGTAGTTTGTGTTTGTAAACAGAGGCAATTTAAGTGGAGATTTTCAGTTTAGTTTGAATTATTTTACATAGAATTATAAGAACTTTTGACTCCTTTAAGTGAATCTGAAAAAGTTCCTCCTAAATCTGCTTTTCAAATTATGCTCTTCCCTTTATATATATATATTTTTTGATGGGTACACAATTTTTATTACGCTATTTCCATGTGGTTCAAAAATTACATAAGAAAAGTTTTTTGAAATTGTATAGGTGATAAAGGGGAACATACAGATAAATTTTTGCACATACAGGGGCCTGAGGCTATAATCACTCACTATATTGTCTGGTATAAAGAAGGTGGTCAATTTAGTAACATAAAACAAAGCAAAACAGAAAAAAAGCAATCCCCCTGAAGTCCCTCTTTTTGGTCAAGGTATTAATTCCCATCCCAGCTTCTTGCCCGATCACCCAGTTCTTTTACACATACGCAGTCTTACACTTTTCCAACGAGTATTTGTTATAAGTTAAGCCATGATTCAGGATCCCAGGGTGGGAATCACCATGTACCCAGGTCCCCCTTCACCACCCTGGGAGAAGGATGGAGGACAGAGGAGAGGTGGGTGGAGCCAGTTCAGATCTTCCCAGGAAATGTGCCTTCTGCCCAGAGGTCATCCCAGGCCAACACCCAGGATATGGGGCAGAGGGACTTGTACACATGCCGGTACCATTTGCACATGGAGACATCACCCCCTTTAGCAGTCATTGCCTTCTCACAGCTGTGGAAGTCCAGGTAGTTGTGCCAGCAGTTCCTAGTCTGGTTCTGGTTGGGGAAGTGGCTGTCAAAAGGGGCAGTCTGGTACTCCTTGATTTTGGACTTGATGTCTTCTCCCATGGTGCTGACTCTAAAGACACCCCTGCAGCACCTCGCAGCTCAGTGTGACCCTCAGCAAAGACCCCCTTTATATATTTTGAAAAAATATTATCTTTCTATATAACTTAAGGTAACAGGAAATCTTCTTGCATATCATGAAATTGGGTTGTTTTGTATCTAAATGGTACTGTAAACCTTTAGTCTGACATGCTTATAGGATGGTACATTCATTATGAACATTCAGGAGATACTCTCCGTGGGTTCTCTAGGTAGAAGATAATGTTTCTTAGACTTAAAATTTAAAAGGCCTTCAAAAAAAAAAAAATGTAAAAAGCCCTCATTGGGGCTTCTGTATTTAAGCTAGTTTCTAGTTCTAAATAAACATTACAAACAGTCCTCTAAGCATCCTAGATTTCTGCCTTAGGGATAATTTAGTGAGAGAAGAAACTGAACTTTCTGGAATTTCTTTTTTCTCCTCCCCTCACTTTAGGGTTTTTCACTTGGAGTTCTTAAGTGTATCTTTTGGATTTTTATTTTTGTTTTCTAAATCTTTCTGTTGGCCCTAAAATTTTATGGAAAGGCACATTCATCATGTTAAATAGCCCTTTTTGAAACATTTCAAACAATAAATAAAATCTCCTGTCTCATTGAAAGCAAGGTATCCTATTAGAAAAAATACTACAGGGGATCCCTGGGTGGCTCAGCGGTTTAGTGCCTGCCTTTGGCCCAGGGCGCGATCCTGGGGTTCCAGGATCGAGTCCTGCGTCAGGCTCCCAGCATAGAACCTGCTTTTCCCTGTGCCTGTGTCTCTGCCTCTCTCTATCATGAATGAATAAATAAAATCTTTAAAAAAAGAAAAAATACGGGATCCCTGGGTGGCGCAGCGGTTTGGCGCCTGCCTTTGGCCCAGGGCGCGATCCTGGAGACCCGGGATTGAATCCCACATCGGGCTCCCAGTGCATGGAGCCTGCTTCTCCCTCTGCCTATGTCTCTGCCTCTCTCTCTCTCTCCCTGTGTGTGACTATCATAAATAAATAAAAATTAAAAAAAAAAAGAAAAGAAAAAATACTACATTGAGATATTCAACATCAGAAATTCTTTTTTTTTTTTAACATCAGAAATTCTAATACGATATGGATGTCAAAATACCCATTGTGAACTTGCTTCTGGTTCTTCTTTTAACCTGCCTCATGATTGTTCTCATTTAGAAAATAGATCGAATGACCTTGAAAGCCCCTTTATGATGCTAATTCTTTATGATACTGTAGTATATAATTTGTGTTAGAGTTTTATTTATCTGATTAGTTGTAAGGCTGAAGTAGGCATTCATGTTAATAATTTGATAAAGATAGTGTTTCTTAGTTTTTATTTTCTTAAAAAAACATATACTTATTTCAAAGATGAACTGGTAGGAAAGATTTCATTAGTATTTATCATTGTACACTATATTTTTAAAAGATTTTATTCATAAGACACAGAGAGAGTGAGAGACCTAGGCAAAGGGAGAGGGAGAAGCAGGCTTCCCAGGAGTAACCCAATGTGGGACTCGATCCCGGGACTCCAGAATCACTCCTGGAGCTGAAGGCAGATGCTCAGTTGCTGAACCACCCAGGTATCCCTGTCATTGTACGCTATTTGAATGGGAAATCTATTGATGTTGATCAGAAAATTAACATTTCATGTTTGAATTGTCCTTGTTACAGGATTGGATGGAACGCTGGGTTGATGATGCATTTTGGAGCTTCCTTTTTTCACTTATTCTTATTGTAATCATGTTTTTGTGGAGACCATCAGCAAATAATCAGAGGTACCTAACATGGGAAAATTCGAGTTTGGCAAGCATTTGTTGATCACTGCTATTGTGTTCAAATAAAAATGCATTAATAAAAACTGAGGGAGTAGGCCTCGCCTTTAAAGGAGTATACAGTCAAGTAGGGAGACAGACATAACGCAAGACAGTGAAATAAAAGGTATATAAACTTGGAAGTCCAGGGGGAAGACCAAAGAGGGATGAGGAAGACTCCTTGAAAGGCAGAATTTATGTTCTGCCTCGAGGACATGAGCAGAACAGTGGAAATTGAGCTGTGAAAGAATGTACATTTTCTGAGATAGTGGGGGAAGCCATGGTATATTTTGGGGGTCATTAAGGCATGCATCTTGGTTAATACCTACTTACATTGGAGAGAAATAAAGCTGGAAAGGAAGGGTGGGACCAAAACCATGAGGAGATTGAATGGTGGGTTCAGGTAGACCATTGATGGCATATGATGGGGAAGCTCCACCTGCCCCTTGCCTCACTCTTTCGCAAGGAAGGGGCCGTGAAGTTTCTTGTATGCCCTTCTAGGAAAAAAAGAAAATGTATATACCCGTGTGTGTGTTTCTCTCTCTCTTTTTAAAAGTATGTCATAATTATACATACATATATACATGTATACACTGTTCTGTACCTTGTCCACGACGTATCTTTCCATATCATCTTGTATAGATCTGCCACATTTTTTTTTCTAGTCCATCGCCTTAACCACTCGGCCACGACTACACCGCCTGCCACATTTTTTTTTAAAGTAGACTCCACGTGGGACTTGAACTCATGACCCTGAAACTGAGAATTGCATGCTCTGCCAACTGAGCTAAGCAGGCACCCCTTGATCTATCACATTATTTGTAATCGTTCTTTGGCATTCCATAATATGAATGTAGCCTAATTTATAGAACCAATCCCTAATTATTAGGTACTTTGTTTCTAAGATTATTGTTAGTATCAGCAATGCTTTCTGAATGCTGTTGGACCTAGCAAATGTGGCTCAGTCATTATGCTTTATTTTCACCAGTCAGATTAGCAATTTTGTTAGTGGGTAAATTAAAAAGTAGTGGGCAGGGAGGGTAAACCTGACATGGAGAAGAAAGTAGAGCAGGAAGTTCCCTTCCCTGAACATTGCAGAACTGCTTTCCAGAAAGATCTTACCCAGTTATGCTTTTACCAGCAGGGTTTGGAAGCTCTAGTTTCAGTTTCATCACTAATAATCTTTCCTAATTTGAGAGTAATTAAATTTTTGTTATTTGAATTTTTAAGAAATGTTTAAAACATAAATATTTTTGTATGCAATTATGCTTTTAGATATGAACTGAAAACTGAAAGCTTAAATGTTAGTAAAAATACTCCTTGTTTCTGATGTAGATATGCCTTCATGCCATTAATAGATGATTCTGATGATGAAATAGAAGAATTCATGGTACCATCTGAAAATTTAAGTGAGTGATATGTTTTTATTAAGTGGCCACTGTATTGTACCTTTACTTGTGATGCAAGGTCAGATACATTTTTTTCCTGTTAAAATAATTTAAAAACCCTATCTACAAAACCCCTATTATGCTAAACGATCATGAAAAGAAAAGTCGGTAATGAAAATTTTAAGTACATCATAATGTACTTTAAGCCTTTGTTACCTGTTTGCTTTTAAGGCCTAAGTATTAAAGTAGGTATACTGTTTCACATTAATAATTTAGTGTGTATTGTTCTTAACTCCTAATAATCATTTTAATGATGATTGCTAAATTTCTGTGAATCACCTCTTTTTGCTCTTTAGAATTACACATCCTTTTAATTTCCTGATCATTCGCAAAGCATTTCTAATTACAGTTTTAGTGCTAGTTTAATCTTTCAACTAATTCCTACATTGCATTTTATCATTTTATTAATTTTACCGTAATACTTTAATTGTTAAGGCAATGTCAGTACATCATTTAGTTGCTGAAAATAAGTGTGTAGAACCATACATGTTTATAATTGTAACTCTCAATATTATTAAGCAGTCAGTTCCACAAACTGGTAAGTAGAATCAGTACAATCCCAATCATAATTCTAACTGACCTTGGGGGCACCTGAGTGAGCTCAGTTTGGCTCAGGGAGTGATCCCGGGGTCCTGCGATCAAGTCCCGCATTGGACTCCCCATGGGGAGCCTGCTTCTCCCTCCACCTATGTCTTTGCCTCTCTCTCTGTGTCTCTCATGAGTAAATAAATAAATATTAAAAGAAAAATAGTTCTGGGATGACTGGGTGGCTCAGTGGTTAAGCATCTGCCTTTGGCTCAGGGCATGATCCTGGAGTCCCGGGATGGAGTCCCTCATCGGGCTCCCTGCATGGAGCCTGCTTCTCTCTCTGCCTGTGGCTCTGCCTCTCTTTCTGTCTCTCATGAGTAAATAAATAAAATCTTCAAAAAATTAAATAAGGGATGCCTGGGTGGCTCAGTGGTTTAGCGCCTGCCTTCGGCCCAGGGTGTGATCCTGGAGTCCCAGGATCGAGTTCCACATTGGGCTCCCTTCATGGAGCCTGCTTCTCCCTCTGCCTGTGGCTCTGCCTCTCTTTCTGTCTCTCATGAATAAATAAATAAAATCTTTAAAAATAAATAAAATTAATAAAATTAAATTAAAAATTAAAAAATAATTCTAACTGACCTTCAAAAAATACAAATGGTTAACCTGATTTTATTATATTTTTAGAGATTTTATTTATTTATTTTAGAGAAAGAGCATAGAAGGAAAAGGCAGAGGGAGAAAAGAATCTTAAGCAGACTCCCTACTGAGTGCTGAGTCTGTCTGACGCAGAGCTCAATTTCTGGACCCTGAGATCATGACCTGAGCTGAAATCAAGAGGGGGACATTCAACTGACTGTGCCACCCAGGCACTCCAGTTAACCTGATTTTAAAATGTATGTGGAAATAAATAAATAATATCTTTAATAAGTAAATAAATAAAATCTTTAAAAAAATAAAATAAAATAAAATAAAATAAAATAAAATAAAATAAAAGTGGAAAAGCAAAGAACCTAGAAGACCCCAAACATTTTTGTAGTTACAACATGGACAAATCTTGAAAACATGTATGCTAAATGAAAGAAGCCAATCATAAAGATCACGAATTGTATGACTGTGTTTAGCTGAAAAGTCCACAAAAGGTAAATCCATAGAGACAGAAAGTATATTGGTGATTGCCAGGGGTTGGGGAAGGAGTAAGTAGTGAGTGACTACTGATAAGTATGGGGTTTCTTTTTAGGGTGATGAAATTCTTCTGAAATTAGTGGTGATGATATATAATTCTGTGACTATCCTGAAATCCACTGAATTTGTACACTTCAAGATGGTACATTTTACAGTGTGGGAATTATCTCAATAAAACAAAATTAATGGACTTAAATTAATTTCAAGTCTATAAAAATTTTAAGTTATACTAATCAAGATAGGGTGGTATTTGCAGAAGATTACAGAAACCTATCATTGTATCAAAATAGAGTCCAGAAATAAGTCCACACCTATATCGTCAGTTGATTTTGTTGTTGTTGTTATTACTTTAAGCAACAACATTTTCAAGAAGGTACTTTTTGGAAGTACCAAATTGATTCTATGTAATAGGTTACTAAAATGTATTTTATTTTATTTTATTTATTTTTAATTTTATTCATTTGTTCATGAGAGACACAGGCAGAGGGAGAAGCAGGCTCCATGCAGGAAGCCCAAAGTGGGAGTCGATCCCAGGACTCCAGGATCACTCCCTGAGCCAAAGGCAGACGCTCAACCACTGAGCCACCCAGGCATCCCTGAAATTTTTGTTTTAAAAAGGAATGCAATAGGAGTACCTGAATGGCCCAGTCAGTTAAGCATCTGACTCTTGATCTCAGGGTTGTAAGATTGAGCCCCCACATCAGGCCCTGTGCTGGGCATGGAACCTACTTGAGATTCTCCCTCTCCCTTTGCCACTCCCCTCCCTCAAATAAATAACAAATAAATTAATAATAATAAAGATGCAATAATTATTTTTTAAAATATTTTTATTTATTTATTCATGAGAGACACAGAGAGAGAAAGGCAGAGACAGGCAGAAGGAGAAGCAGGCTCCATGCAGGGAACCTGACGTGGGACTCCATCCCAGGACTCCAGGATCACGCCCCAGCCTGAAAGTGGCGCTAAACCGCTGAGCCACCCGGGCTGCCCAGGATTGCAATAATTAAAGTAGCTCCAAGCTGGAAATCTCATTTGTCAACTGATTTTTGAGAAAGGCACCAAAATGTTATATGAGGATAGAATACTATTTTCTCTCTCTTTTTTTTTTTTTAAGATTTTATTTATTTATTCATGAGAGACAGAGAGAGAGAGGCAGGGACACAGGCAGAGGGAGAAGCAGGCTCCATGCAGGGAGTCCGACTTGGGACTCAATCCCGGGTCTCCAGGATCAAGCCCTGGGCTGAAGGCAGTGCTAAACCACTGTGCCACCCGAGCTGCCCCCGAATACTATTTTCAATAAAGAGTGCTAGAATAACTAGATAAACACATGGAGGAAAAATCAGCTGGACTCCTGCCACAGATATCACAATAATAATTAATTCAAGATGTACCACAAACCTAGATGGAAAATTTAAACATAATTCTTCTGGGGGGAAAATATATAATTCTTCTGGGGGTGCCTAGGTGGCTCAGGTGGTTAAGCATCCAACTTTTGATTTCAGTTTAGGTCATGATCTTAGAGTTGTGAGATCGAACCCTACACTGGGCTCCACACTGGGTGTGGAGCTTGCTTAAGATTCTCTGTCTCCTCCTTCAGCCCCTCCCCCCCCCAAAAAACCCCACAGAAACAAAAGAATTATAACTCTTCTAAAGGAAAACAAGAAAATATCTTTATAACCTTGGGTCAGACAATTTCTTGGGACATAAGAAGCAGTTACCATAAAATTTTAAAAACTGGTCAATTAGGGGATCCCTGGGTGGCGCAGCGGTTTGGTGCCTGCTTTTGGTCCAGGGTGCGATCCTGGAGACCCGGGATCGAATCCCACATCGGGCTCCCAGTGCATGGAGCCTGCTTCTCCCTCTGCCTGTGTCTCTGCCTCTCTCTCTCTCTATCTCTCTGTGACTATCATAAATAAATAAAAATTAAAAAAAAAACTGGTAAATTAGACTTCACCAAAATTAAAATATTTATCAAGAGAAACTTAAGAAAATGAAAGGCCAGGCTTAGAATAGAAAAAAGATTCTCTGTACATGTATCTGACAAAAGACTTATATCTAGCCCTAGACTGGAATAAAAGATCCTCAGTGCATATATGTGAGAAAGGACTTGTATCCAGGATATAAGTAAAATTCCTTTAAATCAATAAATTATAATTTGTAAAAAAAAACAAAAAATACTTGAATAGACCTTACCAAAGAAGGCAAAGGAATAACCAATCAGCACATGAAAAGGTATTTGGTATAATTGGTCATCAGGGAAATGAAAATTAAAACCATAGTGATATACCACCACTTATCCACTAGAATGATTAAAATTTAAAAGACTGACAGTATGAAATGTTGGAGAGGATGTGGAACGGCTAGATCACTCACAGTACTAGAAGGAATGTAAAGTAGTAAGACTTCTTTGAAAAACAACATGGTTCTTAAAAAGGTAAGCATATACCTACCATACAACCTAGCCATTCCACCCTAAGATACTTACCCAGAAAAAATGATAGAAAGTAAAGCAGATTTTCACAGAAAGACACTAATGTACACTATTACTTTCAGTAGCTTTATTCTTTGTAGTTTAAAACTGGATATAACCCAATGTCCATCAACAGATGAATGGATAAAGTATTTGTAGTATACCCACACAATGGGCCACTGTTCGGTATCAAACCAAAGTAACCAAAACGCTACAACATAAATAAATCTCAAAACCTTTATGTTAAGTGAAAGCAGCCAGTTCCAAAGGAATATTGAGTCCATGGATTATGGTTCTATTATGAAGTTCCAAAACAGAAGAACTAAGCTATGATGATTATGTAAATTGCAACAATGGTTGCTTCTGGTATGTTTAGGATTGACCATAAAGGAATTTAAAGAACCGTCTGTGATGATGGAAATGTTAAATGTCTTAATTGAGATGGTAAACAAGTGTGTATGTTTGTAAAGTCTCTTAGACTATATACTTAAAATTTGTGTATTTTATTTTATATATTGTGCCTCAATTTTGAAAAATCCGTGTATTGCCCCACTAAGAGAATAAATCTCAAATGGTGGAATTTTAAATGCCCCCTGGAAATATTTTTTGATTGAGGAAACTCATTTTCATTTATTATATCAACTTATGATCATAACGTACCAATTGTCCTTGTTTTTAGAGAAGTACAATTTGCAAATTATTGAAATAACTAAAGTGAATACTTATGGAATATAGATTACATATCAGGGACCTTATATACACTAACTGCTTTAATGCTCATCAGAACTCTATAAGGTAGATATCAGTATTATCCCCATTGTGTAGTTGGGGAAGCTGAGTTACAGAAAGTTAACTGCTTTGCCTAGGGTTGCATAGGGAGAGCCAGACAGTCTAGCTCCGAGACTCATGCTCTTAACCTCTGCTCTAAAACTGCTGGCAAAAAGGAGAGCCTTGGTCAAATAGGAAAGGAAAAATCCTTCTCTTACCTTTTTTTTTTTTTTAATTTTATTTTATTTTTAAAATTTTTAAAAAAGATTTTATTTATTCATGAGAGACACAGAGAGAGAGGCAGAAACATAGAGGAAGAGGGAGAAGCAGGCTTCCTGCGGGGAGCCCAATGCGGGATTTGATCCCAGGACCCCAGGATCACCCTGAGCTGAATGAAGGCAGCCGCTCAACCACTGACCACCCAAGTATCCCAATCCTACTCTTTCCTATCTTATTTTTACCATAGGCACATTCCACAAGTACACATTGGAGAAGTAAAGTAATAGCCAAAGATGTGTTTTATTCTTGAATATGATACTGCAAATTGAATAATTTTTTAAATCTGTAAACTTTAAAATGTATTGAAACTGTTTAAGGAAATATGTAGGTATGTTTGATTGTTGGTTTAAACTCCTCTAAATTGGAATTCAGACTAGCCTCTTGAAAACCTGGTTGTTATTGCAAACATTTGTGAAATCTATTAATTTTTGCCATCCCTTCTGTATTTCCAAGTGGTATGTTAAAGCCAGCACCCTGCGGAAGCTCCTGCTATTAACTCTCCTTTAAATATATACATATATAAGTAATTAGTATATACGTAAATCTCTCTATATATAAACATATATAAATCTTTATTGGGTTATTAAATGTGAGATTGTGAAGGAAAATAATATTTTATAATTTTATGTATTTCCATAATGTTTCTCATTATAGCTGAAGGAATAAAATTAAGAGTCTCTAAAACGGTTTCCAATGGAACAGCTAAACCTGCTACTTCTGATAATTTTGTGAGTATAGTATATATTTGATAGAGTTTGTGTCACATTCATTGACTGTCAGGAAAACATTTTCTACTGTTTTTGTATGAAAATCAATATTACCAAGCAGTGATACTAGTTAAGTCTGATGACTGTAATTGCTGTAGATCCTGGCTTCTCGGGTGTGTTTCTTGGACCAGCAGCATGACTATCACCCAGGGGTTTGTTAGACATATAGACTCAGGCCCACCTCACACCTGCAGAATCTGAATCTGGTTTTTGTTTTTTGTTGTTTTTATTTTATTTTATTTATTCATTCATGAGGGACACAGAGAGACAGAGACACAGGCAGAGGGAGAAGCAGGCTCCATGCAGGAGCCCAATGTGGGACTCAATCCCAGGTCTCCAGGATCAAGCCCTGGGCTGAAGGCAGCACTAAACCACTGTGCCACCCAGGCTGCCCCTGAATCTGCTTTTTAACAGGATCCCACAGATGACTCATACACACATTAAAGATTGAGAAGCTTTGACATAGTAGAAGCTTGTATTAAAGTGATTTTTGAAAGTGATTCAAAAAAAGTGATTTTTGAAGCCATTTCAGATAACATTTGTTATCTAATAAGAAAGGACTTTATGTATTGCCTATGCAATTAACAAAATTAGCATTTGTTATAGAACTGTGCAAGCTTGAATAATATGGTAAAATAGAGAGGAGTTTTTAAATATTTTATGCATATTAGGCATAGTAGAAGTGCCTATCATAATTTGATATTCTGCTTTCTTATAATTGTATTATGTTGTGATTAATAGAGTATAAAATTTATGGTTACAAATTCTAATAGGTCAGATGATCTATGAGAACAGTTTGATCTTTTGGTTTTGGTAAATTTTTTCATTTTTATTTTTGGTAATCAGTAATTTTTTTAAATGTGTTCTTTGAATAGTTTTATGGTGATTCAAACATTTAAAAAAATTATATCAGTTTTAATTATCTGATGTTAGAGCTGTTAAACTTTAAATTCATTAAGATATTTTCCTTTTGTTTTAGGAATATGTCTCACTTTATTTTAAAACTCAATGCGGGGCAGCCTGGGGTGGCTCAGCGGTTGAGCACCACCTTCAGCTCAGGGTGTGATCCTGGAGATCCGGGATCAAGTCCCACGTCGGGCTTCCTGCACGGAGCCTGCTTCTCCCTCTGCCTGTGTCTCTGACTCTCTCTCTTTCTCTGGTCTCTGATGAATAAATAAATAAAATCTTAAAAAAATAATAAAATAAAACTCAATGCTTACAAACATATCAAGGGTATACTTTTTCATTTCCTTAAATTACGGGCAGTCATCTCTTGACCAGAAGCCCAAACTCATAACCTAATTCTTCTTGAGACACACTCAGAGAATTGGGGTTCTTGTTAATACTGGTTCTGTCACTTTGTAGGTGAGCAAAATGTGATGAATACTAGAAACAGAGTATTCCATGAGCCAGGTAGATCACAAAGAAACATTTGATTTATATTGTAAATCAAAATACTTAATATACCCTTTATTTTTCTTTCTCTCAGTGAGATAACCATTAGCAAGTTCTGTTAAAAAACAGATACCATGACTGACCTGCTTTCCTTTTCTTGTCTCTGAAGAGATGAGCATAAATATAAGCAACAGAAATAAATAAGCTTTTGTAAAATTAGAGTATTGTTACTGTCATCTTTTTCTGTTGAAAAATTACAAACTCATGATATATAAACTTGAACAAATTAGGTATAATGAATGCTGGGAGCAAAAAATAAGACAATAAAATCAATATTCTTGCTGTTCTCTGTCTTATGAATCAAATGTGTTCTTTTTTTCTTTTTTTTTTTTAAGATTTTATTCATTTATTCATGAGAGACACAGGCAGAGGGAGAAGCAGGCTGCATTTAAGGAGCCCTTTACAGGATTCGATCCCAGAACCCCGGGATCACGCCCTGACCTGAAGGCAGAGGCTCAACCACTGAGCCACCCAGGTGTCCCTCAACTGTGTTTCTACTGTGGTTTTTCAGGACACAAAGTAATACCTATGAATCTAACAAAAACCAGGAAGAAGTACAAAATTTTGAAATCCAAATTTTAGTTTGCTATTTAAGAAAATTCTGGCATAGTTTCTGTGTGGCATTAAGTGCCAACTTCTTAAGATATGTAGAAATGAAAAGAATCGTGCATTTGAATTTAAATGTTTGAATTTATATGCAAAAAATAAATTTATATGTATTGTATTTTAACATTCTACTTTCAGGAGATACTAACTAAGCAAATGCTAATATATAAATATTTACTTCTACAGGATGAAGATTTGAAGTGGGTGGAAGAAAATATTCCCTCTTCATTCACAGATGTGTAAATATCCTCTGTTAACGTTTGAGTCTAAAATTTAGCATATCGTATGAAGAGATAATTTTCATACTTTGTCATGTTCTTTTCGAATGTTGTACCTCTATATGTTGGGTTTTTTAAATATTTATTTATTTATTCATGAGAGAGAGAGACAGGCAGAGGGAGAAGGAGAAGCAGGCCCCATGCAGGGAGCCCAACGCAGGACTTGATCCTGGGACTCCAGGATCATGCCGTAGGCCGAAGGCAGGCGCTGAACTGCTGAGCCACCCAGGGATCCCCACCTCCATATGTTTTTATAGGCCCCCATCACTAGCGAATGACTGATTTCCTGTCAAACTACAAAGAAAACACAGCCCTGCCTTTTTTGTTTCTCCTCCATTTTTCCCTGTACAGCAACTACTTTAATACTTGTGGCCTATAACCAACTCCAACTTTCCCGATCTGAGTTTTTCAGGATTAGAATCATTTTATTTTGTTTCAACTTTGTATTATGAGAAAGTACAAACATACGTAAAACATTTTTTTCAAACACATGGAACCACAATACCATACATGCTGGGGAAGCCTTTGGAGGACAAACATGAGCATAGGAAAAACAGAGTGCAGATAAAGCCCCTCAGGGACTTTGAGCTAATCAAGATGAAGGTTCTGTTTGACATGAGAATTCCGTGTAGCTATTTCCACAACAGAAAACAAACAGTGGGATAGCCAGATATGATAACCTTTTCATATGCTTTTCTTTCCTTTCCGTGCTCTCATTTACTTCCTGTTTAAGCAGTTCCTGTCTAGTATGAAATTCTGTTTGCCTGCATTGGACAATTTGAAAAAAATCATGAATTACCATGTGATGAAGTCTATCATGAGATAGACATTATAACTTTTTCTTACCTCTGATAAGCTATAAAGGACACAGCAGAGTTCACCTCCCTCTTCAATGCACTGAATACATATTAATAAGTTTTAAATAGTCATTAACCTCACCAAGGAACTGTTTTTAAGATTGCTAGTGTTCTTCACCAAACACAGTGCTGAGCACCCAACGGTTGGCTCCTGACAACTAGGTTCTGGTTCATGTTTCCCCTAAAGCAATATTCTCCCCTGGATTTTCCTTAATAGTAGTATTACCAACAACCTAACCTGGTCCTTTTCTCACACCTGGCTTGTCTCTCAGTCCTTGCTTCTACCTCCACCATAGGCTACTCTGTAAATGGCATCCTGGAAGTCTCGCAGTAATGGGAGTTGCATGTTGCAGAGAGCTATATAGACTTTTCCTTTAGGCTCTCCCTCTCAGCGAGGGCGATCATCACACATTGAGGCTATACACTCAGCTTTTCTTTTTACCCATATTATATTTCCCAAGCAAAGGTTGTATTGTATAACTCTCTCTCCAGTACCTTCACTGGTAGACCTCCAGTCAGTAGTAATAATGATATGGGAATTAAACAAATACTTGACTCCATAAATACCACCTTTTTTTTAAAATTTTTTTTAAATTTATTTATTTATGATAGTCACAGAGAGAGAGAGAGAGAGAGGCAGAGACATAGGCAGAGGGAGAAGCAGGCTCCATGCACCGGGAGCCTGATATGGGATTCGATCCCGGGTCTCCAGGATCGCGCCCTGAGCCAAAGGCAGGCGCCAAACCGCTGCGCCACCCAGGGATCCCCAATACCACCTTTTATAATATGTTTATTCATCTCTTTTTTTTTCTTAGTGTATATATAAAGTGTACATGATGGTTTGCTCTACATATGCATAATGAAATGATTACTAGAGTCAGGCTTATTCATCCCTGTTAAGTTCTCACAAAAACACGCAACATCGGTTAGATAGTACATCACTACTCAGGTACTTGTCCAGCTGTATAAAGTAAAAAATAGCAGTGGCTTAAAAAACAAATATGTAGTTAGGTGTCAGTTATGTTTGGAATTATTCATTTGTATGCTGTATTCATTGATATTCTTCCAACATATTTGCCTCCAGAATTTTTTATCTTGCCTTGTTTACATTTTGTTTTTTTGTTGTTGTTGTTTACCTTTTGAAGTTACGATTTATTGATTATTTTAAAGTATAGCACACACACTGGAAGGTGTAGAATCCTAAGCTCCAATAAATTTTCAATAGGAGCACATTTGTATAACTAGCACTCAGGTAAAAAAAAAAAAAATAGAACATCACCAGGGCCCTAGAAATCTCTTTGCTTTCCTCCCAGATCACAAGACCACTTTCCAAAATGTGCTGCTGTTTCCATGTCTCTAATGGTAGATTACTTGTATCAGTTTAAAAAATGTATCCCTTGACAAGCCATTCATTTTCTTTGCTGTATAGTATTTCATTGCCTGAATATACTACAGTTCACCTATTTGGTTTATTTTCAGTTTGGGGGCTATTAAGAACAATATGAAAATTCCTCTCTATGTTTGCTGGTGAACCTAGGTGTTTATTTCTGTTGGCTGTGTCCACCCAGGAATGAGAACTTGTAGACACAGAATATGCATATTTTCAGCTTTAGTACATACACTAGTCTTTTAAGAACATTATTAATCTGTTTTTGTTTTGTTTCAGAGCTCTTCCAGTGTTAGTGGATTCAGATGAGGTAAAACATATTTTTTGCTTATTTTCTTAGTGTTGTTTTCACAGAGTAAAAATGTATTTCAGAAAGAAATTCTGGAACTTTGTAAAATGATTACGGATTGAGCAGGTTGGAAGACTGCACTGATTTGTCAGTAAAGTATAAAGGAGCTCGATCCTCATTTAAAACAACAGTGAGATAAACACTTGTTGGTGTGAAGGAAGGGAGAATTATTTTATGAGGTTTCAGGACTATGATTTTCCAACATCTTATATGTTGATAAGAGTTTAGAATACTTTGAGATGGCATTTTGTCTGAATTAATGTCTTACACTTGAGCTGTTTTGCTGAGGAATTAAGTAGAGTTTCTATCTCATTTTCATTTACTAAGCAGGAGATAGGATTTAGAGGATATAAATTTGGGAAGGTTTGGGGGAGAAAAATGAGTTATGGATCATCTGGACATTGAAGGATGGCCGAAGATGGGAAGTCTGAATTGTAAGAATTAAAGAGTGGATGTAGGGAACATGGCCTTACAGGAAGAAACAGTAGAGGGAAATGAGTGGTAGCTCAGGTGTGATTTAGGTGATAGCTGTGGAATAGGAGAGAAACTGCAGCTCTATAGACTTGAAGGTAAGAGGTGAGCAACCACAGCAGGTTGATCTGACAGTGGCGGGAGGTTTCAAGGAAGCTGCAGTAGACATGCACCTGGCTATAAAGCAGTTGAACTTCAGGATTTAGAACTCTACAGAAAGATACACTATGAAAAATTACTTTTAAAGGGGGGCATTTAGAGGATTCATGTCATAAATAATTTTATAATTTCAAAATACATGAGTTGTATAAAGTGAGGCAGGTGCCTAGGAAATCCATGTTAACCTCCTACCTGCTTCTCACTGGTAATTCTGAACTCCAGATGTTTTCCAGCTAGCAGGATGTTCAAGTTTTCTGAACTTGTCAGTGACTATCAACCATACATCACCAGGAAGTGTGGCTTATCCAGTGTTTTTTTTCTATATCTAATATTTCTGTATGTATCGTGGAATATATTAGTTCCCCACAAAATTGTGACTGTTGAAAGATTAGGGAATTTTGTTATGTTCTGGAAGGAGTATTGACATCTGGAAGCATATCATCCCCTTTTTTTTTTTTTTAAGGAAATCATGACCAGATCTGAAATGGCAGAAAAAATGTTCTCTTCAGAAAAGATAATGTGATTGGAACCCATATAAATTAAACCTACTTAACGGTGAAAGACTTCCTCAAGACTGAAAAAGAGCTTTGTTTTGATACAGTGCAACAAGGTTTTATTGCATTATCTTGGAAATTTGTGTATTACAACAATTCAGGTGGTAGGGGGGTTTGGTGACCATTTTAAGCTACTCTGGAATGTGAGCTTAATGTCCATCATATTGTCTGGATTTGGAAATAATCTAAGTATTATGATAAAGAAATATGCCCAGATGCCCTTAGCTAAGAGGTGGCAGGGATGTGGATTTGGGTTTTCTCTTCTCACTGGAAAATATAACAGTTCCAGATTTAAAAATATTTTTTACATAAACACTCCTACAATTCCTCAACTACCTTTAAGGTAGATGATGTGGTTCTCCTGTATGGTAAAGCAGCGTTTCCATTTTGTGGGTTTAGAGTTACTAGATGCAGTAAGAATTTTCTTTGACTTTTATACTGAAGTAATTTGAAATTAAGTAAAACTTGGTTAGCCTTAGAACATAAGCACGTTTGTATGGTTAGGGGTGTGTGTGTGTGTATACATATACATACGGGTCTGCACAAAGTCCTTGTTTGTAAATATCACCATGTACATCAAATCACAGAGCTAGGTCCTCTCTGTCTGAGCTCAGGGGAATACTAGTACACAGGAAAGAGGCCATGATGGTCACTTCCAAGGATTAACTCTGCCATTGTCCCCTCACTCAGGCTGTAAGTACACGTGCTGCTGCCGAATATGTTTGGGGGTCACTGCATAGCTCCCCAGAGCAGTTCCTCTCCAGGCGGCTGGGGGCTCATTACCAGTGAACTTTGCAGACACTAGAACATCTTTTACATAATCTTGGCTTATCTGGTTTCATAATGAAACATATATTTACCTGCATAGTACATCTCTATTAATCTTGTAATTAATTTCTTAACCTTGAACCATGTTTTACACATCATTTTGTTACATTACATATGTAATATATGATTTGAAAATTTTTTGTTTTAATATTATTTTAGGTGCAGAACAGTCAAAACTTGAAAGGTAGTTGAATGTAGTATGATGGAAATGTGACTATTTTGCTGCTTTTGTGACCAAAGATACAGGGCTAGTGAACATTAAGAATAGGAATAAAAGTTAGAATCGTATATATCTTTATTTGAAGGTGTTCTAACCTTGTGAATTGAGAATGACTTCTGAGAATTTTGATTGAGAAGCATTTAAAGTCTTAACCAGTACCAACACTTAAATATAACCATTAATTTTCATCGTGAAGCCATAAAACATTTTCTTTCAAGAGCCTACCTTTTCAATTTATTTCTCATTTACTCATGTCATAGGAGTTAACAAAAAAAATTTATAGTAGTAATGTGCCTTGAAAGATACTTTCAAATTTATTTTCAGTAGGGAACAGGGAACAGTTTGGGGCATCCTCCCTAGGAAAAGAGTGTCAGTTACTACAGGTTCCATTCTTTCCTTCCATTTCTTTTTTTTTTTTTTTTTAAGATTTTATTTATATATTCATAGAGACACAGGCAGAGGGAGAAGCAGGCTACATGCAGGGAGCCCGACGTGGGACTCGATCCTGGGTCTCCAGGATCACACCCCGGGCTGCAAGAGGCGCTAAACCGCTAAGCCACCAGGGTTGCCCTTTCCTTCCATTTCTTACACAATAATAGGTCCCCACCCACTACATTTCCCAGCATTTATATCCATTCTGGTTTTGGTGTGTTTTACCCTGGGCTCAGTAATTTCAGAGCTGGAGGCAACCCTGCCTTCTCATTCCTAACATTTTTTAATCTAATCCCATTCCCAGACTTAGAGGCAGACCTCTAGCTCATCATATGGCTCCAGCTGAATTTTGAAATACAGGGTGCCAGCCTTCCAGCCTGTAGGAGCTACAAATGGAGTGGAGCAGGAGTGGGGAGTTGATGGTGAGCAAAAGGGAGACTGCCTCTTGTATAACCTCAGTAGCAGGTGTGAGAACACCTTTTTCTGCAGCTGTAAAGATAAAGGATATGATGTGTATAGCTCAGCTACAGGCTGAAATGCAAACTTTTCTCATCTTCTAGAGAAAGTAGGATTCCCTCCTGATAACCTCATCAGAAATGTTGTTTTTCAAAGGGCATATGCAGTATCTATCACTTTCAGTGATACTTGTGTCATCAGTTGATGTCTCTTGACCTGAATTGAGTATTCCTGTGGAGGGTCCTCTTAGCTCCCTCATATAAACAGGAGGGGTGCCCTAGGGCTGTAGCTGTAGTTCATCTGAAGGACACTGGGGAGAAGTGATACCCAGGGCCACTGTACAGCTCATTATCCCAGCTTCTGCATGTAGTGTCCAGAAACTGGTCATCCGGGCTTTTGAGGCTATCAGATCAGTTTATTCTTGGGATGCCATCAAGACGGTTCTTACTCTAAATGAAGGGAACTGAGCATAAGAGTTCAGTTTTATGTATTTCTAGACAAAATGCTAAAGTGTTCTTATGCAAGTCATGTTGGATTTATGTGATGTGTGGAATTTGTTTATAAGGGAATTTTCATGATTTGAATTAGATTAATGTTTAAATGTCTGCTTTAAAGGATTGTTAATTTATTTCAGAAATAAAAAAATAGATGAATATGTGCATTTTTTAAGACAGAGATGATACTCCTTTACTTTTCCTGTAAAGAGATCATTTTAAAATCTTTCTTATCCTATAGAGAAAACCAACTTTTCCTCTGTGATACAGTATGTTTGCACTACTACTTGACATTTCAAGACTGAAAGTATAAAAAATGTACATATAGATTGATTTTTCTCCTTTTTTAAAAAAAGGGGGTTTGAGGTGCCTGCCTGGCTCATTCAGTAAAACATGTGGCTTCTGAACTTGGGGTCATGAGTTTGAGCCCCATGTTGGGGGTAGAATTTACTTTAAAGAAATAAAAGGGGTATGAGTCCATTGCACTAAGCTATACTTGACTAGTGTAAAGTGGAGAAATGTTATGCTAGATTTAAAAATCACTAGTTTTCTTAATATATCTTTTTATGATCAACAGCATGCAATAAGCAGTACAAAACCCCAAGCCTTATACTTAGAAGACAGAAGTTTAACATATTGGTTAAAGTTCTAAACATATCAAATGTATATAAGTAACAGAAGTAGGATTTTAAGGAAATGTACAATATATATAGAAGCTCAGTACTGCATTAAGAAACTTCTCTAGAACTAGGAAATCATTCATGTATTTGAGGAGAAAACGTAGGGGTTTGAGAAGTTATATTTTTCTATTTAAAAGGGTTAAATTATTGTATAATTTGGAAGAAGTTGCTTTGAATGTAGGACAAAACTTTCGAATATTTTTGTTTGAAAAGTTGATGTATTTTTGTGCCTTAATATTCTGACTTTTAATAAAATGCTTTCAGAAATTCTGGATGATTGATTCTAATATCTATTAGTGCTAGATTATATACAGCTGCCGGAAATGTAGACCCAAATAGATGGCAGGCCATAAACAAAAATCTTAAAAGATGCAAGTAATTAACAGATATGGAAAAGTGTTCAACCTCAGTAGTGAACAAGGAAATCCAAAATATGGGGCGCCTAGGTGGTCAGTCGGTTAAATGTCCAACTCTTGGTTTTGGCTCAGGTCATGATCTCAGGGTCATGAGATCAAGCCCCGAGTTGGGCTTTGCGCTTAGCAGGGAATCCACTTGAGAGTCTTTTTCTCCCCCTGTCCCTCGGCTCCTCCCACCACTTGTGTTCTCTCTCTCTCTCTCAATAAATATATAAAATCTTTTTTTTTTCTTTTTTTTTTTTTTAATTTATTTATGATAGTCACAGAGAGAGAGAGAGAGGCAGAGACACAGTCAGAGGGAGAAGCAGGCTCCATGCGCCGGGAGCCCGATGTGGGATTCGATCCCGGGTCTCCAGGATCGCGCCCTGGGCCAAAGGCAGGCGCCAAACCGCTGCGCCACCCAGGGATCCCAAAATCTTTTTTTTTTCAATGCAAAATACAAGAGGGGAATTTTAAAAATTAAATTAACAGGTTTATACTAATACATTTGTAAAATCCATTTGCATGCAAAGTCTGATGGAATGAAAACACTCATTAATGATAGTAATGTGCTTGATTCAGTCTTTGTGAAATGAAGTTCAGCAATGTGTCTATAGCCTTTGCTGCCAATTCTGGTGATGTTTTAAAAAATGATTCAAACTAGAATAATGATTCTACATAAAAATGTTTATAACACTACTTACAGTAGAATTAGAAACCAACTAAATGTCAACAATAGAATAATAAGTGAATTATTGTCTAGCCAGCTAGTTTATGGGATACTACAACCATTAAATTATGAAGCATTCATAATAACATAGAAAATACTTACAAGAAATAAGGCACAGAGTCACTGTTGTGAACTCCTGTCCGTGAAAACACAAAGTAGAGAAAGGATTGAGTGGAAATGGTTAATGTTTAGATTGAGTTAAGCTGTGGTCACAATGTGATTCAACGTCTCAGAATGTTAAGACAAAAAGTTTATTTCTTCCTTATGTAACAGTTTTGGGATGGTATAGAGGTGGGCAGGGCAACCTACCTCCCCACATCCCTCAGGGACCCAAAGTTTCTTTCTGTCTTGTGGGCCCCCTAGTTCCTAGAGACTATCATCTACATGTAGCCACAGAAGGAGAAAGGACAGCCTCAAGTTTTGTGGAGCAAAGCCCGGAAGTGGTGTTCATTACTTCTAAGCATATTCCATGGGCAGACAGTCACATGGCCACACTAACTGTCAGTCATCTGGGCAATAAGAGCCGTGCTATTTTACCCTATGAAGGAGAGGATGGATTTGGGGGACAGCTAGTGGCTTCTGCCACAGATTATTTGGGTGCAGTGGACAAGGGAGACAAAAACTTCTTTCTATTTTCGAAGGTAAAATATGGAGAAATAAATATCTAAAAAGTGATAGTCCAAAAGTGCATGGTCTCAGAACACAGCTTAATCCATTAATAAATAAAATCCATCCTGCCCCAAGTAGATGGAACATGGAGAACATTCTTAGAAATTCTCCCAACTTTGGGAGTGGCCAGGATGTGTATTCCCACGAGGGAAAGGAAGCTTGTAATAACAACACTGACAGTTTAGAAAGGTTGGGAATGCTCACAGAGTGGCCGACTCTGCTAACCATTGTAGTTTCTGTAGCCAGTGAGGTGTAGGTATAGCCAGTGAGTTTATAAAGGAGAAAAAAGGATTCAGCATGGCTAAATAACTTGCCCAAAGTCACCCTTCTGACAAATGGAAAGCTAGTATAATACTGATGGGAAGCACCCTTGAAAGATTTCCACAAAATTCTGGGCAGAGAGGAGACATGGTTGCTTGTTAGAGGATTAAGTTCATGTATCTAAAGTGCTTGGTACTTAAGGCTTCACAACACAGTGAAGTTTAAAAAAAAAAAAAATGCATCAGCGATTGGGAGGCTGCTGAGACCTATCTGAAATCAACTCCATATGAAAATCACATTCTAAGATTTATTTACATATGTTGCGATGGAAGTCTCACAGGACAAGTTATGCCCCTTAAGTAATAGTGGATTTACAGCTAAATTCCTATTAACATAAGCTGGTATGGTACTGAATTCAGATGTAAATAATTTTGACAGTATATTCTTTAAATCATGGTGGAAAAGTAATAAGAAACTGCAAAGGAAGTTTATGTACAGGAAAAGTTAAAAGCTATCCAGCAGATGGTGCCAAAGTAGTTTCTCTGAAGAGTTCTGACCTCTAATTCTTGCCTTTAAAATTTTCTTTAATTTACTTACCAAAGGCCACTAAACAAACATAGAAGTGAAATTAAAAAAAAAAAAACTTTTTGAAAAAGTTACCATTTTGGTGCACTTCCTGTTCTCTCAGAATTAGAACTTGGAAGCTGGACCGGGCCTCTGAGATCATTTACAGGTGAGAAAATGGGGAACCAGGAAATCTTCTTTGGCTCCAGATCCCTCAGGCTAAAATTGAAACCTGTATCCTCTACTTGCTTTTCTCACCTCTGGATCCTTGGGGTGAGAGGGAGTCTAGTGCCATGGGAGGATTGAACTGCATATCAAAACTTGAAATACCGTTGATAGGCTTTGGTTATCCCTTGCTACATCATTTTATATGACTGTTGTCTTTCATTCTAGCCTCCAAACTGTGTTGCTACAATAAAAACTGTCATTCGGATTCTCTACAGCTTAATTTGGGGCATAGTGGAGTCCAGAGAGTTACTGCCAGTGTCTACTTTATTTTCAGCATCACCGAAAAGAAAATATTCCATAAACTTTATCTTTCCTTTTATTAAAAAAGTAAGTTTGGCCATTAATGTACCTGCTTCCAAAGAATTATTAGACATTTCTGTTAAGGGAATGAACAAGCTGCCCTTTCACTATGAAATTTTACATCTTACTTTTTAATTTTTATTAAGATGGAGAGCATGAGCCAGAGCAGGGGGAAAGACAGAGGGAGGAGAAGCAGCGCCTCTGCCCCACTGAACAGGGAGCCCCATGTGGAGTTCGATCCCAGAACCCTAGGATCATGACCTGAGAGCCCTTTGGGGGTTTACTTTTTAAAAAATGAATTGTAGGGGATCCTGGGTGGCTCAGTGGGTTAAGCCAGGTCATGGTCTCATTCAGGCTCCCTGCTCAGTGAAGAGTCTGCTTCTCTCTCCCTTTGCCCTTCCCCTGAGTCATGCCTGTCACTCTCTCTCTGAAATAAATATTTTTTTAAAAGATTTTTTATTTATTTACTCATGAGAGACAGAGAGAGGAGAGAGAGGCAGAGACACAGGCAGAGGGAGAAGCAAGCTCCATGCAGGGAGCCTGATGCGGGACTCGATCCCAGGACTCCAGGATCATGCCCTGGGCTGAAGGCAGGCACTAAACCACTAAGCCACCCAGGGATCCCAATAAAATCTTTTTAATTAAAAATAGATAAATAGTTGTGTTATTGTAAAATGCATTTGTGGATGTCAAGTTCTGATCATGGATAAGTATCTTCTACTGGGCCAAAGTTCCCTACACATAACAACTCTAGACAAAACTTAAACGATAACTACATGAAGACACTGAAGACAGACACAAAGCAAGAGGCATAGGAAGGGACTCAACACTTGGGGAAGCAAACTGCACTGGGTGATTTCCGCCCCCCCCCTTTTTTTTTTTTTGCTTTTACTCTGATAGCAGGCTACAGTTCTTGCCAGGTATAGAGATTAAACCCAGATACAAACCCTGATCTTTGGGATGCCTGGGTGGCTCAGCGGTTGAGTGGCTGCATTCTGCTCAGGGCATGGTCTGGGGATCTGGGATCAAGTCCATGTCGGGCTTCCAACGAGGAGCCTGCTTCTCCCTCTGCCTATGTCACTGCCTCTGTGTGTGTGTGTGTCTCATAAAAAAAATAAATAAATCTTAAAAAAAAAAAAAAAAAAACCCTGATCTTTTCCTTGCTGAATTGGAAGAAGACAGAGATTAGAAGAACAGCAGCTGGAAAGTAAGATAATTACTGAAAGAGAGAAACACAGAGAAGGTAAGCACCATATTCTGTGTATAAACCTCCCAAATCACTGGCTCACTCTGTACGATGCATGTATGGGACAGACTCCAGGCAACCTATCCAAAGCTAAGAAAGTAGAACTGGAGATTTCTGCTAACATAGGAAATAAAGTTTGACTTGACCCCAACCAAGTAAACCTCCTGCTTAAGAAAATGATGTGGGAGTGACATCAAAGATAATGAGGGACTAAGGACCTCTGGGAGTTTGTCCCTTCATAAAAACAATGAAAAATTCATAAAAACTTTCAGGACTAACTTTCAGAACTCTGGAAATTAACCAGTCTTGCAACAACCTAAGGAATATTTACTCAAGAAAAAAAATGCCTGAATTTCAGGAGGAACACCAAGCTTTCCTTCCATCTCTCCTATTCCCCTGCTTTGTTCCCCAGCTCAGTAGTGGCCTTCAAAATTAAGGGCCCACACACCCAGTACTGCAAGGTGCAGAATGGAGCCGGAGATATTTCAAAATCTCATTACCAAAGAATTGGTGTTCATTGATGGGTCTAGTTCCTTGGAATTCACTGCTAGAAAGGCTTGTCTTCATTTGACCTGGACCAGAGCTTGCCCAGTGTTAAAAGCTTTTTTCTTGGGGGTGTTTGTTAAAAAACATTTGCAGTCAAATGTTTTAATGTTGTAGCTGCCCAAGGCAACAAATAACAATGGAAGCAAATAATAGACTAACCAAAAGCCTCAAAAAGTAAAACTAAAGAGAAAAACTCCAATGCATTTCTGGGAATCCTAAAGGCCATGTGCACATGTAGGGCTCTGCACAGCACAGTATAAGCAGAAAGTGAAGGCCAACACAGAGTTGTCAGCCGGCTGTCTGAGCATTGAAGATGTGTTCTCATCATCCAAGACCGGGAGATTTGTTGGTTCCAAGAATTTAAGGAGAATTCTGTCCAAGGATTAGCTGACCACCAGATAACTGAGTGGAGACTTCAGTGGCCATGTATTACAAAAGATACGGATGTTACAGAATTAGTTCAGAGAAGTCACTAAACAAACATTACAAAAAGCAGGAACAGCAAAAAACCCTGGGGAGAGGGAAAAATCTGATTTCCAGAGTCGCTACATTATTTAAAATGTCCAGTTTTCACCAAAAAATGACAAAAGCAAAGAAACAAGGGTGGGAAAAAAAGCAATCTATGTAAAATGTTCTTTTTTTTTTTAAGATTTTTTTGTTGTTGTTATTTATTCATGAGAGACACAGAGAGAGAGGCAGAGACACGGGCAGAGGGAGAAGCCAGCTCCATGCAAGGAGCCCGATGCGGGACTGGATCCTGGGACTCTGGGATCACACCCTGAGCCAAAAGAAGACACTCAACCACTGAGCCACCCAGGAATCCTTATGTAAAATGTTCTTGAGTGGCTCCTTATGTGGCTCAATTGGTTAAGTGTCTGCCTTTGGCTCAGGTCATGATCCCAGGGTCCTCCTCCGTCTCCCTCTCCCTGCCACTCCTCTTGCTTGTGTTCTCTCTCTCCTTGTCAAATGAATAAATAAAAACCTTTAAATATATATATATATATATATATAATGTTCTTGAGAAAGACCAGATGTTGCACTTACTAGACAAGCACTCTAAGTCAGCTATTTTAAATATGTTCAATGACCTAAAGGAAACCATATCAAAAGAACTAAATAAAGTATGAGAATAACAGCTCACCAAATACAGAATATCAGTACAGAAATAATTATAAAAATGAGCCAAATGGGGCACTGGGTGGCTCAGTCAGTTAAGCATCTGTCTTCAGTTCAGGTCATGATTGTGGGGTCCTGGGATTAAGCCCCACATCGGGCTCCCTGCTCAGCCAGGAGCCTGCTTCTCCTCTGCCTCTGCCCCTCCCCTGCTTGTGTTCTTTCTCTAATAAATAAATAAAATCTTTTTTAAAAATAGCCAAATAGAAAGTAAATAGAAACACTTTTCTGTTGAGAAGTAAGTACAGTAACTTTCATTGAGAAATGAAAAATTTACTAGAGGCTCAATAGCAGTTTTAAGCAGGCAGAGTAAAGAATCCGTGAACTTGAATATAGGTCAATTGAGATTTTTCAGTCTGGGGAAGAGCAAGTAGAAAAAAAAAAATGAACAGAGCCTCAGAGGCCTGTGGATTATCATCAAACATATCAATATATGCACAATGGGAAAATCTGAAAGAGAAAAGAGTAGGAAAGAGGGAAAAAGAATATTTGAAGAAATAAAAGCTGAAAACTCCCCGGTTTGGTAAAAAACAACAACAACAAAACATTAATTTATGCATCCAGGAGGATCAACAAACTCCATGTGGTAAAAACTCATAGAGATCCATACTGAAATATAAACTGTCAAAAGACAGAATAAAGACAGAATTTTGAAAGCAACACGAGAGAAGCGACTGATCACATACAAAGGATACTCAATATGATTAAAAGCTGTTTTTTTCTTCAGAAAACATGGGGGCAGGAAGGCAACGGATGACATATCCGAAGTACTGAAAGGAAAAAACAACAACAACAAAACTCTGTCAACCAAAAATTCAATATTCAGGCAAACTACCCATCAGAAATGAAGGAAAAATAAAGACACTCCCAGAGAAATAAAACCAGAATTCTTTGCTAGCAGTCCTGCCAGACAAGAAATACTAAAGAGAGACCTTCAGGCTGAAATGAAATAACACTAAACAATAACTTGAATACACATGAAGCCATCAGTGGTACCAGTAAAGGTAATTATGTAGGTAATTACAAAGGAAGGTATAAATATACTTTTGGTTTGTAACCGCTCTCTGTGTCATCATTTCAAAGAACAAAATTTGGCTCACTTCCTTGATGTAGTTCACCCAGGACTATGCCCCAAGTTGACACTGAAAATAAGATTTGTGTAATGAGTGAGCTGACTAGATCACCCCCCACCTCTGTCCCTACCATGTTACCCTGGGTCAGGCTAACATTCTGGGCTTTGTTCCTAGGATCCTTTGTAGGTGTTTGGTGGGGGCTGATGACATTTGCAATCACAGATGTAGGGTGAATGTGGGCACTGGGAACAGGAGTTTAAAGCAGCCAGAATGAGCCAACAGGCAAAATAAGCATATGAATCCTCATAGGGTAAACAACATGGTGTGGGACACCACAGGGGACCCAGAGAACCCTACAGGACTGCTTTGGAATGGTTGTTGCAGGCTGGGTGCTGCTTCTGATTGGGTGTTAAACAGAATTCTACAGCAAATCTTCCTGCCTCATTTTGCATTTCCACATTACACAAGGAGCACAGTTGTATCAACAAAAGCACTGATCCACGAGATGGTCATTGATTCTGTCAAAAAACTTTATTTTTTTTAAAGGACTTTATTTATTCATTAGAGAGAGAGGCAGAGTCACAGGCAGAGGGAGAAGCAGGCTCCATGTAGGGAGCCCGACACGGGACTCCAGGATCAGGCCCTGGGCTGAAGGCGGTGCTAAACCGCTGAGCCACCAGGGCTGCCCTGATTCTGTTAAAAAAAACTTTAAAAATAATTTCTTTTTTTTTTTAAGATTTTATTTATTCATTCATAAGAGACAGAGGGAAAGAGAGAGAGGCAGAGACACAGGCAGAGGGGAGAAGCAGGCTCCATGCAGGGAGCCTGATGTGGGACTCGATCCCGGGTCTTCAGAATCACACCCTGGGCTGAAGGTGGCACTAAACCGCTGAGCCACCCAGACTGCCCTAAAAATATTTTCTTTAGATTTTTTTTTTTTTATTTATGATAGTCACAGAGAGAGAGAGAGAGAGAGAGAGGGGGGCAAAGACACAGGCAGAGGGAGAAGCAGGCTCCATGCACCAGGAGCCCGACGTGGGATTCGATCCCGGGTCTCCAGGATCACGCCCTGGGACAAAGGCAGGCGCCAAACCGCTGCGCCACCCAGGGATCCCAAAATATTTTCTTTAGATGTATAGACCCTCCACCACCACCACCAATCCCTGACATCCTGGAATGTTCTCTTAAAAACTAAAGATAGAAGAAACAGAAGAACTAATATAGAGGACAAACCCAATTCGTTTTAAGTCAAAGGTTGGTTTTTGGAGCCCTGAATAACTTGGCTTATTTTCAGTCTGCTTTCAGACAGCCCTAACAGGTCCTGGGCTGCAGGGGGGCTGCCTTGACCACTGCAGGTCCAGAGGGGTTGAGGACAGAGAGAAGAGGCAGTACTGCTGGGGCAGTGGGACCTTAGAAGTTTAATTCAGAGCAGACACCAGAGCTCCAAGTGGAAGGCTGCCATAGGACCAGGGCAACAAACAAACCAGTAGATAGGGGAATAAAATCCCTGCTGAAATTTAGAAATGCTTAAAAATATATAAAAAGAAAGAAAAGGGAGGGAAGAAGGAAGGAAGGAAAGGAAAAAGATGATACAAATTCTATAACTAAAATTCCTGAAATCCTCTGCTCATGTACTTAAGTGAAATGTGGTGAGGTGGAAGGTGGTAGCCTTTGCTGGAAACAGCACAGCTCCGGGAGGGAGCCTGAGTCTGGGGTTTACATACCTTGGGCAAGTCACTCAGTCATGCCTAGATTCAGCTTCGTGAATGCACAGAGAGGGCAAGAGAGGAAAACAGAAGCTTCCTCAGATCTGCCAAAGTCTGGTTCCCAGTGTGCAGCCAGAAGATGGCCAAGAAGTCTGGGCCCTCCAGGGGAGGTCACCACCTAAACACAAGGTGGGATAAACACGTGTTAAACATGGAACCAAATCTTTCACTAGTGGGAGGGAGAGAGGAGGGTAAATGAAAGGGGCTGGGGGGGGCGCACTGGCTTTGGCATCAAGGGCAAAAGACAGAATGAGGCAGAAAACCATAATTTCCACAGGCTTCCTGGGACTGAGCCACTGCTGCCCAGTCCCTGCACTTGGACAGGGAGAAGCAATGTTTCCTGGGTCTCCAGGAATGCAGAATAAGATTACACGGCGCTGCTCTACTTCCGGCGACAGGAGGGTGGAGGGAGAAGCACAGGCGAATTTCCTGGATAACGAGTGCTCAGGTGGCCAGCCTACAGCACACCCTCACTTTCCCAGGGGACTCCAACCCCCCCTGCTGCCTTCCAGCGGAACTCTTGGTCTGAGATGACGGTCTTCTGAGCTCCGGTCCTTGAGCTCTGAGTGGGCTCTGCTAAGTGAAGTGCGGGGAGGAAAAACTGGCCAGACTGGGTGTGCACCGCAAACATCTGCAGTGGGGACACGCGGGTGCCTCAGCGGCTGAGCGTCTGCCTTCGGCCCAGGCCGTGATCCTGGAGACCTGGGATCGAGCCCCGCATCGGGCTCCCTGCTCAGTGGGGAGCCTGCTTCTCCCTCTGCCTGTGTCTCTGCCTCCTCTCTGTGTTTCTCAGGAATAAATAAATAAAATATTTTAAAAAAATAAAAATAAACATCTGCAGTGTGGCCTCCCGCAAACATCCCTCCGGGAAGAACTTGGTAGTGTTTTCCAGGGGCTGGGGGCTGAGGCCGTCCGGTTCCTCCCGCCGCCCCGGGGTTTCGCACCGACCTCAGCGGAGCCTCGGGAGCCCCTCTGAGCCGGCCTCGTCTCCCGCGGGGCTGCTCCTTCCGGGTGGGGACGGGAGAGCTATCGGGTCGGGGGTCCCTCGCCCGCGCGACGGCAGCCCAGTCCGCGGCAGAGCGAGCGGGCCGCGCGCCCAGTCTCCCCGTCGGGGCCCGGCCGCCCCTGCCCGCGAGGCCCTCGGACCGGTGCCCGGCTCGTCCCCGGCGCGGCGCCCGGCCTCCTCGGGGAGCCGCGCGGGCTGGGCGCGCTCCCAGGCGCATTCCTGGCCGGGCAGCCCCCCCTCCCCCTCCCCCTTCCCCCCTCTCCTCCCTCCCCTCCCTCTCCTCCCCTCCCCGGCCCGGCCCCGGCCCCGGCCCCGGCCCCGGCCCCGGGGCTGGCGCCTCCCCGCCTGGCCGCGCGGGCTCGTGCGGGCGGCTGCGGAGGCTCGTGGCGGGCGGCTGCGGACGCACCTGGACCCGGCCCGGCGCCCGCGCTCCCGCCGCCCCCGCCCCGGCCCCGGCCCCGGCCCCCGCGGCGCCTCCCCGCCCCGGCCCAGCGGCGCCCCCGGCAAGATGGTGCCCGGCCGCCCCCGCGCGCCCCTGCTGCTGCTGCTGCTGCTGCTGCTCGCCAGCCCCGCGTCGCGGGCTTCCCAGGTCGGTGCCCGCCGCTCACCTGGGCCGGCCGCTGGGCCCGGGACGCTGGGCTGGGGGCGCCGGGCGGCTCTCGGGGGCCCCCTCGCGTCACCCGGGGAGGACCCACGGGGCGCGTGACGGTCGTGGGTGCGGGGCGGGCTCCCGGGGTGCCCCGACGTTGGGCTCCGGTGGGCGGGGGCCCCGGTCCCCCGTTAGGGTCGACGGTGTCCCCGCCCCCCCGCCCCGACGTTGCCGCCTCTAACTGAGGTCTCGCTCGCTCCACCGCCGACCCTGAAGGCGCGCGGCCTCGGGGATGCGGCTCAGCGACCGGAGCGCGGGGCCGCCCTTCCCCTCCCACCCGCGGGCGGGCACCGCGCCGCCTCTTCTGCCGCCCGTGTCGGCTGGGGTCCCGCTGGACCCCTGCATTCGGCCGCCGCCGCTCTCACACTAACCGGCAAGAACCGGTGGTTAAAATGAAGATAAGAATCCAGGTAGCAATGACGTCCTCCGAAAGGTGGACCGGGACCCGGAATTGCTGGATTCCGCGCCAGCAACCGCCGGCCGCGCTCGGGCCGCGGGACCCCCCCCCCCCCCCCCCCCCCCGTCCCGGCCCCGGCCCCGGCCCCGGCCCCGGCCCGTGGCGGGCGTCCGGGCAGTTGCAGTAACGCGGGCAGCAGCAAAGCCTGCACGCGCCTACTGAAAGCCTGATGACTGCCCGGCTCTTTGCTAAGCATCTTCCAAGCTCTTAATTCTCAGCCCTGTGCGGTGAGGACCACTGTCTGTCATCCCCATTTTGCAGAGGAGGGTACCTAAGGCCCAGGGAGACTGTGACTTAAGGTCCCACAGCCAAGAAGGAGTAGAGGAAATTCAGTCGGTCTCCTTGGGTTCCAGACCTTTCGCCTTTCCCATCCACACGCCTTTACTGTCTAAATTCCTGAACCAGGCAGGCACCCTCTTGGTCACCTGGGGGTCCCTGGGGTGCGGGAAGGGATTCCAGGCCGGGAGACTGCAGTTCAGACCAGAGGTGGGTAGTGGAAGTGCACAAGTGGTCAGGAAAAGAGGCAGTTGATGGGGAAGGGGGCACAGCTGGCAAAGCGTCACACACTTGGTTTCTGCTCAGGTAGCCATCTCAGGGTCTTGATCTCAGGGCGGTGAGATCAGCCTCGGGTGAGGCTCCTGCTCAGGACTGAGTCTGCTTAAGATTCTCTCTCCTTCTCCCTCTGCCCCTCCTCCCTTGCACACAGGTGCATGCTGTCTCGCAAATCTTTAAAAAAAAAAAAAAAAGCAGGCAACTGCAGGAAGCCGCTCAGCAACCAGGCAGCAGAGGCTAGTTCGAGGCCACAGTGGACCCACCAAGAGAGCAAAGTCTCTCCCACCCACTTTGCAGAATACAAAACAGAACAAAACATCAGGCCCAGAGCGGAAGGCCAGAAGCATAGGTGGGCGCATCCAGTCCCAGCCGTCAGAGGATGGACAGGATGCACAAGGAGATGCTGAGGCACCTGCTCTGCCGCGGTCTCACCTTCTGGGGCCTTTTTAGGTAATCTCCAGATTACCGTAAGACAGGTGAGACCCTGGCAGTTCTCAGATGTCTCTGGCTACTACAGAGGCAGAAGAGTGAGCCCTCTCAGGCTCTGGTCCTGGGGGATCTGGGTCCAATCTCTGCCTCCCTGGGCTTTGTGAGGGGGAAATCAGGAGCAAAAGGGATTGTCCAGAGAAGCTGGTTTAAAAATGCTAGTGAAACTGTCCTTCACACAAAGTCTTATGTGTTGGAGGGGTCTCTGCCCCCAACCCCTGCCTGCGGGAGCCTGACAGGTAAACCATAAAGAGGGCCCCAGGAACTCTCCTTACCTGGCTTCTTTTCATCTCTTGGTCCTGCTCAAATAAGCAGAGGCCTTCCCAACACCATGCTAAACGGATCTCCTCCTTGCCTTTGTGCTTCCTATTGTGGTCCTATGAAGGGCTCTGGAATAGGACTGATCACGTTGGTAGTGGGCTCTTTTGGTAAATTTTGAGGGTTTTTTGTTTGTTTGTATTTGTTTTTACATTTTGAGTTTATTGTCTGTCTTCACTACAGGCCTCAGGGCTAGTGATCTTATCTGAGATTTTTAACCAGGGACCACACATCACAGGAGTTCAGCAGAATGAATGGAGTATAGTCACACTGGTGTTGCTCTGAGCAGGACCAAGCTGGGCAGCCTCTGGGTAAACCTTAGCTGCACATCAGGTCACCTGGAAAGCTTCTAGAAATCTCAGTGCCAGCCACATCCCAGAAAATCTGCTTCAACTTGTCTGGGCTGGGGGTCAGGCATCAGGATTTTAAAAAAATTGTCCCTAGTGATTTTAATCAAGCACATGTATGAGACCCAGTGAAACCCGGTCTTTCTGACTTAAAAGTGGCAGACCTAGGAGAGGGCCAAGAGCAGGGGAGTTCAGAGTGGGCAAAGGATTGGACTCAGGAGGACCCAAGGTGATATAGCATCCCTGGAGTTGACTTGATCTGAACACAGTGTGAACTCTGGGGCTCTTGGACCCGACAGTAAGACCTGCCGGCTGGTGGAGACTCAGCTCATGTCTGGAGAATGAATGGCACCCATGGGACTATGTGCTGCCACAGAGGAGATGGACAGGGTACATGACCACCCAAGGACCTCTAGCTAGAGGCAGTAGGCATTGCTTGCTGGCAGTGCTGCACAGTGCTGTCCGGGGTTCCTCTGTTTCCCAGGAAATGTGCTTACTTTGTTCTGTCAGGTGAAAACCCACAGGAAATACGATGGGTGTGTGTTTGTGAGTATGTGTGCGCATATCTGTGTGCCCGTGAAGACACACGTGTCTGTGTGAAGGAGCGGTTGTGTTTACTGTGGCCTGTGTATGTGCATGCATATCTATGTGTGTCTTTGTGTGAGTATGAGTGAGTGTGTGTGTGTGTGTGTGTGTGTGTGTGTGTGTGTGTGTTACCGGGTAAGGGGAGGCTGATGTCTGCAAGGGTCTGGAGCAGTGATCTCTTGGGGATGGACAGTATCATCCCCTCTCCTGTGGCCCTCCATGGCTTTCCACTTCTGTCCCTCTTGTCAGCACACCTGTCCTGAGTCACTTTGCAGGGTTTTTGTGATTAGCTGGATGGGAGCAGGTGGTCATGGGGAGGGACAGCAGGCTTAGCAATGTGGGGATCCCACAAGTGGGGGCCCTATCTTAAAACTGCTACATACTCTGTGGTCTTTCCACTGGAAGAGAAACAGTTCTGTTGGGGGAGACAAGAACGGGAAACGTGTAACAAACCCCTGCACCTCTTGTCCCCACAACAGCCTTAGGTGAACAAGGAGGGCAGGGTCTCAGCATCCTTCTTGCCTATGGGGTTATTCAGAAGGCTTCCCCTTCCCGAAAACTTCTCCTTGTGAACAGATGTCACAGGGTTCCAAGTTCCACCGTTAGAAGTTCATTCTTTTGGTTATGGTCTCCCATTTACTTTTTACAGTTTAATGCAAAAAAAAAGTTTTTGGTATACATTTCCTTGATTTTTTTCCATGAAACTATATTCCATATGTGGTAACCCCCACCACAGTCGGGATACTGTTCCACGACCCCAGAACCAGTCTGTCCTTCATCACTGTATAGTTTTGTCTTCTCCACAATGTCCTGTAAATGGAATCAACAAATGCATAGCCTTTTGAGTCTGGCTTTTTAAAATTTAGCATAATGCATTTAAGATTCTTCTGTGTTGTTCTGTGTCTGCATAGTTGTTTTTACTAATACTATGACTGAGTCATATCCATATGACTGAGTTGTACAGATGTACCACAGTCTCTGCGTCGGTTCACCCACTGAACTGAATGACACCTATGGTGTCATTTCGACTTTTTGGCAATTATGAATGGAGCTGCTATTATAAATGATTCCCAAGAGAAATATTCATTTCTCTTGGGCAAATATGTAGGAGTGAGATTGTAGGGTCATATGGCAAATGTATCCTTAACTTTGTAAGAAACTATCAAACTGTATTCCATTTTAGTTGTATCATTTTACATTCCTACCAGCAATGTATAAGAAGACACTGTCATCCTCACCACTTAATATTGTCAAGTTGGTTAGTTTGTTTCCAAGTCATTCTCATAGGTATGCAGTGGCATCTCACTGTGGGTTTTATTTCCTTTTCCCCAATGACTATAATATTGGAAATCTCTTCATGTCTTTATTTGCCATGAGTAGTCTACAGGTAAAGTGTCTGTCTGCCTATTTTAAAAATGAATTAATTTCTTATGGTTCAGTTTTGAGTGTTCTTTGTATATTTTCATTACAAGTCATTTTCAGATAAGCAAACTGCAAATATTTTCTCTCAGTCTGTAGCTTATCTTAATGTCCACCCCAGAGCAAACATTTTAAACTTCGATGAATCTAAACTGATCGGTTTTTTATTTTTATGGATCATGCCTGTGGTGTCAAGTCTGAGAACTCTGCCCAACCTCAGGTCCTGAAATTTCTCTTCTGTGTTTTCTTCTAATTGTTTTTTTTTTTTTTACAGTTTTGCATTTTTACATTTA